TATTTTGTAAGTCAAAAGATTAAACTTTGTATATTATGAAACTGTCTGCATTTTTATTATGCCCCCCGCCATATATGGCAGGGGCATATAGGGTTACCCTCGGTGTCCGTCCGTCTGTCCGGACTGTCTGTCCGTACGAAACAGGGAATGTATTCTATCCACTTCTCCACCATAACCGCTCTGTGGAATTCAATGAACTTATACATGGGCTTTCTTGGGACTCTAATGGTGTGCATCTCATATTTTGTTTTTTTATTTTATTCGTGTTTTTTGTAAGTTTAGAGACATTTGAACTTAGGTACATTTTGCTGAATTTCTCTATGATGATAGTGTAATAGGGGATGAAGTCTATCCACTTCTCCACAAAAACTGCTCAACAGAATTGAATGAACTTCTACATGTCTTTTGTAGGGACTCTAAAGGTGTGCATTTCATAATTTTTTATGCAATTTCTTAATTTTGTCACTTTTACAGATGTTTGAACTTAGTTGAATTTTGATCTATTCAGCCAGTGTTCGTTCAATCCAACAGGGGGTGTACGTTATCCACTTCTCCTCAAAAACTACTTTATGGAATTCTTTTAGATTACACATGTGCTTTATAGGGACTCTAAATGCGTGCATCTCATATTTTGATTTTGTTATTTATTTATTTCCAATTTTAATGCCGTTTGAACTTAGATAAATTTTGTTGAATTTCTCTCTGAATATAGTGTTGTAGGGGGTGAAGTCAATCCACTTCTCCACAAAAGCTGCTCAACAGCATTGATTGAGCTTCTATGTGTGTTTCATTGGAACTCTAAAGGTGTGCATCTCATACCTTGTTCATCTAATTTCTTAATTTTGTCACTTCTACAGATGTTTGAACTTAGTTGAATTTGGTTCTATTCATCCAGTTCGTCCCATACAACAGGGGGTGTACTTTATCCACTTCTCCTCAAAAACCACTGCACAAAACTCATTTAGCTTACATATGTCTCTAAAGACTCCAAAGGTGTGCATCTCATATTTTGTTTTCGTATTTTATAATTTTTTGTATGTTTAGAGAATTTTGAACTTAGATAAATTTTCCTGAATTTCTCTCTGATGATAGTGAAATAGGGGATTAAGTCTATCCACTTCTCGACAAAAACTGCTCAACAGAATTGATTAAGCTTATACATGTGTTTCATTGAGACTCGAAAGGTGTGCATGTCATAGTTGCATAGATGTTTATTGAACTTGTTCGCGAATTTTGTTCAATTATTGATCTTTATATGTCTTATGAATGTCAGCGGGGGCATCCGTGTCCCTGGACACAATTTTTTCTTGTCTTATTGTATTGAAAGACAATAAACACATTTGCTGATCAATGCCACACTCTCTGCAGTTGGCAGCTGTATGAAGGCGGTCTGTTTATAATTAATCGAGTCATGAGCTGGATCTCCACAGTTGGGTGGGTGAGTGAGTGAGTTTAGTTTTATGCCACACTCAGCAATATTCCAGCTATATGGCGGCGGTCTGTAAATAATCGAGTCTGGACCAGATGACATGTGTCAACCAAGTCAGTGAGCCTGACCACCCGATCCCGTTAGTAGCCTCTTACGACAAGCATAGTCGCCTTTTGTGGCAAGCATGGGTTGCTGAAGACCTATTCTACTCGGATCTTCACGGGTACCACAGTTTGGAGACGATGATGTACATCATTTCATCAAGCCTGGCCGTCGGATTGTTAGTTGTTAGTCAACACCAACATCAAACAAGGGTTAATTCAAAACCAGATTTCCACGGGTTTATCAGAATTACTTGCTTTTGTATCAGCACCATCATCAGAGATTATATAAAGATGGTATAAACGCCTTACAGTATTGATAATTTAAAAGAAAAAGAAGTCTGAACTAAGTATACGCCCTTGCTTAAAACCAAACATATTCAGAATTTTTCTTCACATAAATTGATTATGGGTGGCCCAGTCGTCTTAGGCGCCACAATTTGCTGTGAAAAATTGCGTCTCTGGGACACGTCAAAAGTTGCGATCCTGAGTTCGAATCCCAATTCGCCCGAATGATCTTTCGGGCTTCATCGGCACCATACCATACTAGGGTTTTGAGCTTGCATTTCCTGGGCTTCCTCCCATCTAAGGGGCGGTGGGGTAGCCTATTGGTTAAAGCCTTCGCTCTTCACGCTGAAGACCCGGGCTCGATTCCCCACATGTGTGAAGCCCATTTTTAGTGTCTCCCGCCGTGATATTGCTTGAATATGGCTTAAAGCGGGGAAAATTAAAAATCACTCACTCACTCCTCCAACGCCATAATATAAATTGAATACTGTTCAAAGAGGACTTAAACTCCTTCACTCATTTCTCTGTTAACTAAATTTCATCAGAGTCCTTCAGGCCTTTCACCTTACAGATCAGCTCTTTAATGTAACTAATTATATCCAACAGCTGACTGAAACAGTATTTTAGTTGCTTTTCGATTAAATAGCCAAATATTCGCACCGGTCCAACAAGGATGCCGTCTTACAACTAAAGAGTACTTATGTTTCAGCCAGCTCTTTTTATAAAAACCTATGTAAACCCAAAAAATTGTGTGCCAGGGAAATGTTGTCAAATAAGTTGAATGATTCTTTAATGCTTAATAATAGTAAGCTTTTCTGGTCAACAATTAAAACCAGAGCAGATGTTTGTAGAAATAACTTTCCTCCCAAGGAATGGGTTACACATTTTCAATCACTATTTCTTGGCACTTTTTGTGTGCAGCAAAGGTCGAGTTTTATAATTATGTTTATGATTTTGTTGACTCAATTGGGGACCCTTTATCAGAAGCCACTTCAGATGCTATTTATTTAGATAGGACTATTACATATGAAGAAGTACGAAGCTTAATTGACTGTATGCACTCGGGTAAAGCCCCTGGATTTAGTGGTATCACTGTTGAGTATTTTAAAAAAGCACCTTCGTTTTGTATTGATATGTTAGTTGCTTTGTTTAATTCAATTCTACCATCTGGAATGTACCCCCAAGGAATGGACTTTGGGAGTCATACTCCCCATACATAAAAAGGGCAGCGTTAATAATCCTGCAAACTACACACCTATAACATTACTAGAAATATCTGGTAAAATATTTGCAAAGGTGATAAGTAGGTTAGATAAATGGGCGAAAGATGAAAAGTGTTTTGCTTCTGAGCAAGCAGGATTTCGCAAAGGGTTCCGAACAACTGATAATATTTTTATACTTGAATCTATTATAACTAAGTACCTATCTCTGCAGAAGGGTAGACTTTATTGTGTCTTTGTTGATTTGAAATCAGCTTTTGATTCAGTTGTAGGGATTGTAGGGGTTGTAGGGATTGTTTTATAAACTATGGATAGGTAATATTAAAGGCAAAATGTTTCGTTTACTTCATAATATGTATGCAAATGTGAAGGCTTGTATTTCTTTAGAAGATGGTAATATCGTCTTTTTACCGTCTCTTTCGAGTTCCTGTTTGGTGTTAGACAAGGATGTCAGTTGTCGCCATTTCTATTTTGTTTCTTTATTAATGATATTGTACAATTTTTGTCTATGGATAACCAAATGTGTATTGATATAGATTTACTGGAACTTTTCATTTTACTCTTTGCTGACGGTATTGCTATGCTTGCTAGTACAGTTGGAGGTTTACAGAAAAGAATCGATAAATTAACAAGCTATTGTGGTAAATGGCAAAGCTTAACATTGACAAGACTAAAGTGATGGTATTTAGGAAAGGCGGTAGACTTAAAAAATATGAACGCTTCACACTTAATGGTAGCTTTCTATGTATAGTTTCATTCTACAAGTATCTTAGAGTCCACTTCTCTTCTTCTGGATCATGGAATATTACACAAAAGACATTGTCAGAGCAGGCTATAAAGGTTTGTCGATGCTAAGGTCTCTAATCCAAAACTTAATGAATCTTTCATCTCAGGTTTTGGTGCATATTTTTGATGTCACGATTATGCCAATCCTATTATATGGTAGTGAAGTTTGGGGTTTTCACCCCTCAGCCAATGTTATTCGATTTTAGGACATTTTACACCTAGGTAGGACTGTACCAAATATTGTGGCTAGAGGCGAACTTGGACGTTTTCTGTTAAGGTGAATCAGCATGTCAAGATAATCAGTTACTGGCTCAGATTAGCATACCAACAGGATAATGCTATCTTAAAACATATTTATTTTTACCAATATAAGCTGGCAGAAAATGGAATTAATTGTTGGGCTCTCAAGGTAATAAAAATATTATTCAATTTAGGGCTTGGCTGCTCTTGGATAGAACAGGGTGTTGAAAATGTTAATCATTTTCTAAGTATGTTAAAGCAAAGATGTGTGGATATTGACAAGCAACTCTGGTTTGATAATTTAGCCCATTACTCTAAGTTAAATTTGTATAGACAAATTAAAGTGAATCACATGTATGAAAATTACTTATCAGCTGTACCAATCCATGTTTACCGAATAGCGCTCTGTAAATTCCGCTGCTCAAATCATAACTTAATGGTTCAGGTTGGTAGAAGATGTAATATTCCACCAGAAGAAAGATTGTGTCCCTTTCGCATTGTAATTGTTCAAGAATCTGAATACCACTTCTAGTTGCAATGTCCATTTTATTCAGACTTTAGAAGTAGTACTCTACCCGTGTATTATTGTACTTCGCTGTCTTTACAAAAATGTATTCACTTTGTAAATCTGATAATAAGTACATTATTAACTGTCTTGCAAAGAATGTTTTCCTCGCATTAAAAAAACCGTGCAAAGTTTTTTAATTTAATATAATGATAACATGTATTGATACATGTACTCATTATAATTATATGTATTCATTACGACTGGTGCTCCATAAAGTAACACTATTGTTATATTGCCTGTACATGTAGAATGGGCCGGTGGCCTCGTTTACTTCTGAATAAACAATCAACAACTAAAGAGTACTTCAAATTTGTGTTGCCAACTAATGATCTTAACAGTGACAGAGTTACTTCCCTTTACCCATAGATTGCAAACGGGTATCTTGCTGGTTTTCGCCCTTCAGCAAATATGGTAGAAGTACCGGACGAGCGTAAAGTGGCCTACAACATCCTGGGGAGGTCTGGACTGAAGGTGGCCAACATATGTCTCGGCACGATGACGTTTGGCAGTGCTGGGGTGAGTGAGTGAATCAAGGAACGCCAAATACGCCTCTTTTTTCTGAGGATAGGTATCGTGGTTCGTGTGTCATTATATAGCCAAAGTTTCGATCAGTAATATTAAAAAGAAAACACTTTTAGTTCTATTCAGTTGAAGAAAAATTAATCATTATATGATTAAATATGTTTCATGGTTATTGGTATTCCAGAAATGTTCAAATGATTACGGCAACCTCAAGGCAACCTTGACTAAAGTAAATCTACTAGTGTGTTATTTAGTGATAACCTGATCTCGATATACATTAGGCGATGCACAAAAATATGAATGAGGCTGACCTAAATACATACCGGTCATTAGATACGCATATAAATGTGTGGTGACAGATACGACATTGGGTTATTTAATCATCGCCTTCTTTTGTTGTGATAGCAAAGGTAAAGTCGATAAATGTGTGGATTGAATACTTGCTTTTTTTAATGACTGCTACGTTTCAGTATATATACTAACAAGCGAAGACCAATAGTCAAATTTTAAAAATTCAGTTTATGAAATTGTTGATTGATACTAAGCCAAACTGTGTTCATCATTATTATTAACAAGGCTATGAAATGTATTAATGTGCACGCAGTGTATGAGTGAGTGAGTTTAGCGTAACGCCGCACTCAGCAATATTCCAGCTATATGGTGGCAGTCTGTAAATAATCGAGTCTGGAGCAGACAATCCAGTGATCAACAGCATGAGCATCAATCTACGCGATTGGGATACGGTGACGTGTGTCTCAACTCAACTCTTTAAACTCAACTCACTTTGTGTTACAGTCCGAGCTACCTGGTCAGGCCACGGAAGAATACTCCCACCAGGTGCTTGACCGCTACGTCCAGTGGGGAGGCAACTTCCTCGACACCGCCGACGTCTACACACAGGGACTATCCGAGAAGTTCATTGGGTCCTGGCTAGCAAAGCAAGTTGTTATAAAACTCACTTATAGATGTTAGAAATGTTATGTGTTAAGACTACCAGAATACTAAGTCGAAAGGATTATCTGAGTGAGTCAGTGAGAGCATGGAGGTGAGCGTGGGCGTGCGTGCGTGCGTGCGTGCGTGCGTGCGTGCGTGCGTGCGTGCGTAAGTGAGTGAGTGAGTGAGTGTTGTCTAAACAGTTTGAGCATTGTCGCAGTTTAAGCAAGTATGTAAATTCAAAACGTCAATGCAACAGAATAACCAGTCTCAGATTGTGGATTTGATGCAAGTAAAGGACATGGAAGTCGATAACCGGAATTGTAATACAACGGTTTCGTTTCCTTCAAACTCGACAGCATATCTTCATATATCTTAGAAAGAATCATGAACTGTACAACGCCATGTTGACGTATTAGTTTACATTTTAACAACTGTCCTACGGTTTCAGACAAACACGTGACAAAATTGTTGTTGCCACAAAGGTCAGAGGAGCCAACAACTCTGGGGTAGGACTGGGTCGTCGCCATATTGTCCAGAGCATACAAGACAGTCTAGAGAGACTGCAGACAGACTACGTGGATCTGTACCAGGTGAGTACTGACTGTAGTGTGTGGATCTGCACAAGGTGTACGAAGATTTTTTACATCAAACGGTTAAATGTGTATACCAGGTGAGTACTGACGGTAGTATACAGCTGGTAATAAGGTGTTCTCAGCCTCTGTTTGAATCTTACTTTACTTGTAGCTTGTTACAGTATTCTTGTAAAAGCAGCCTCTTGCATGTTTCTTTGGTAAGAAAGGTTGCTTAACGTGCCCATTGAAATTTGGTTCCAGATGCACCTCTGGGATTATGGCACTCCTATTGAAGAAACGCTCCGCACCTTTGATGACCTGGTTCGATGTGGGAAGGCGCGCTATATCGGTGCCAGTAACGTGGTGGGTTGGCAGCTACAGAAGATAGTCTGTACATCGGAGAAGCTTGGCCTGAACCCCTTTGTCAGCTTACAGGTAGGGCATTGTATAGTATGACTATAAATTATTGAGAATTTTAGGAATATGTTTCATTGGATTTCTAGTATAAACAACCTTGACCAGCTATCAAGTGCTTGGTTTCATTCAAGAGAGACAACTCCGTTAATCCTTTTCATTAGTTTGTGAAGAGTTATACCCCTTTGTTTACTTGCTAGCAGACGACATTTTCAGTGATCCTCAGTATGGATGATTTAGAGAAGAGGAAGTTGATTTTAGAGCATTATAACAAGGACATCAGATCAGCTAAAGTGATTTCAAGTAGAACAGGCATCCCTTTGTCCACTGTTTATCGTGTTTTGAAAAATATTGCAAATGGATATGGCTTTGAGCACCAGGGAGGTGCAGGTAGGCCCAGAAAATTGACTGTCGGTGACAGAGGCGGCTTGGTATTCTTGTTTCTAAAAACAAACGAAGGAGTTAAGAAAACTTCAGGCTGGATAGAGGAACTGTGGCTGTCTGTAAGGAGACAATTAGAACTGAGCTGCATGCAATGGGTTGGCAGAAAAGTCGAAGAATTCCATCACCGATCATGAAACCTGAACAAAAGGAGCGAAGGTTGAACTGGTGCTTACAGCATAGAAATTTTAACTGGGACAATGTGATTTTCTCAGATGAAAGTTCTGTGTGGCTGTTTCCTAATACACTGAAATTCTGGACCAAACAAACTGAAAAACCTTTGAATCAGCGCCCAAAGTACAGTCCGAAATTTAACGTGTGGGCTGGCATATCTGAGTTAGGGGCAACGCCCCTCTGTGTATTTGAAGGGATTATGAACAGTGAGTGGTACACAGATATTCTCGAGGGACATTTACTTCCATCTGCTCACGTGTTCTATGGACATTTTTGGATTTTCCAGCAGGACAACGACCCAAAACATTGTTCAAAGCATTCACAGGCCAGGTTTCGGACCCAAAATATGACATTTTTAGATTGGCCAAGCTATAACCCTGACCTAAATCGAATAGAAAATGTTTGAAGGAAAGTGGCAATTAGAAAAATCTGACAAATATTGCTGAAATGAAAGAAGAGGTGGTCCGATATTGGGACAGCATGGACCACGACTTTCTAATTTCTTTGATCAGTAGTATGCCCCGCCGCATTGAAGCCTGCATTGCTGCCCATGGTGACTTGACAAAATACTAACTGTTCACCTGTCTTTGAATCTGGAGTTATGTTCTGCTAATATTCACATTTAATACGTGAGTAATGAGTGAAAAATATATAAAAATTACAATCTTTAAATTCTCAATACTTTCTGGTTGTACTGTAGCATGAAGTCATTCATTCAATCACAGTTGGGACATGCAGCTGTAAATCCCCTTCATCAGCCTCCAGGTAGGACATTATGACATGGACATCGTCATCAGCCTTACAAGTAGGACATTATGCCTTGAACCTATTCTTATATACATTAACCTGAATATTGCTGTTCTAATTGTTTCCAGCAACAGTACAGCCTTTTGTGTAGGGAGACTGAGTTCGAATCCCTACAGGTGTGCAAGATCGAGGGATTAGGGGTGCTGCCTTGGAGCCCTCTCAAGGGGTGAGTTGGATCGTGGTCTGGTCGTGAGAGTTATGATAGCGCTACGATTACCGTGAGTCTATATGTTACGATTGCCCTAAGATCGAATGGCCAGTTTGGTGTAGCACGATGTCAGTTAAAACGATGTCATTGGTACAGATGCTCCCTCTCAAGGACGAGGACAGGATACTATGTCTTGGTGTAATACAATAGTAAGTCTTTAATATCAGAGACCACTTTGAAACAGAAAGAAATCAGTCATGGCATCAGCTTTGGTGGTGTCGTTATACATACAAAACAGCAGATGGTTACTAAAATACGAGTGGTGGTAAAAAATTAAGGACTAGGTTCAACATGAGAATCATCAGAACATATCGGCAGTGTATTGAGAGAATGATTTATTTTATCTGTCTTTGATCAGTGATGGGCCACGATTGGTGAAACGTTTGATTATGATCCGATTCATTAACCCCGCGGACTAAGCAGCATGGTGGCTATTTCTTAGCATTTGGGCTCCGTTTTATCAAGTTATTATACCACCATGATGATCCTAGCGTACATACTTTAATACGTACGAAAACGTACGACGTACGAAAACTGCAGCGCTTAGATGTCTTTGTGGAACAGGAACCTTATTTGTAAATTATATTCAGGTTGCCTGGCGAAAGTGAGCCACGATGTTGTTGGCTGTTCGATTTGCTTTAGCCTGGCGGCTGATTAATTGATCTTTGGCTTGCATTAGTGACCTTAAGATACCTGTTCAAAAGTCTGCAAGTCTCAGACTGAGACACATTGAACGTATTGGCCACATCTCGCTGAGGTTCTGTCAGCTTGATGCACGCCAAGAAACCTTAAGTGTTCATCCGTTTTGCGTCAAATTCTGGATAACTAAAATCGAAATGACCACAACCTTTTACTGAAGTGGCGGTATCCAAGATGCCCCTCTACCCACGAGCACGAAGGAATTGCATGATCCACGTGCAATGTCTAAGGGTCTCTGGGTTTGGTCATCTTCTTTGTCTTTATCGACTGTGGTGGATACAATAAATGTCAGCTGTCTCTTCAACAGAGGTCTTCTTTCTGGGAAATACACACGGGAGTCTCCCCCGACGACAGGACGTCATGGATGGAGGAGACAAAACGACGCCGGCAGCTGGAACACTGTCCAGGAGGACAATCAGATCTGGGCCATCATGGACGCAGTGCGGGACATCGCCAATACGCGCGGTAGGAACATGGTCAGGCAGGCGGAGAGGGGTCTGGTTTAATTATTAGTCATGATGGGCAGGTGTACAAAGGATGGGAAAAGTAGTGAAATGATAGGCATAGTAGATAGACAAAGGGTAGACATAGTGACAAAAACATGGTGGCCATGGCAGATGAATGAAAGGATAGACATGTTATATTAATTACCTGGTACAGTTCAGGCAGCAATGGCGTTGATTATCAAAATAGGCATGGCCGTGAAGGTTAGACATTGTTTGCACAGTGGTAATATACGAATAGACACATGATACGTCGTTAAGTTCACCAGTTATGATATCATGATATAATTATGTCTCTTCCCTAAGGCAAGTCCATGGCCCAGGTGTCACTGCGCTGGCTGCTGCAGAAGGATGTGGTTCCATCAGTAATCATCGGAGCCACGACTCTGGAACAGCTGGATGACAACTTGGGAGCTGCTAGTGGCTGGACACTGTCTTCAGAGGAGGTGAGTCTGTGATGGATGGATGACAATCTAGACACTGCTTGTGGCTGGACACTGTCTTCAGAGGAGGTGAGTCTGTGATGGATGGATGACAATCTAGACACTGCTTGTGGCTGGACGTTATCTTCAGAGGAGGTGAGTCTGTGACAGTTAGATGACAATCTATAAGCTAGACGCTGTTTTATTCTGGGCGTGTTTACTGATCACTATATGCTGATGGGTCGTGTTTCCTACTCCGAGTGACCCGTGAAGATCCGGGGTAGACTAGGTCTTCAGCAGCCCATGATTGCCACAAAAGACGACTATGCTTGTCGTAAGAGGCGACTAACGGGATCGGGTGGTCAGGCTCGATGACTTGGTTGACACATGTCATCGGTTCCCAATTGCGCAGATCGATGCTCATGCTGTTGATCCCTGGATTGTCTGGTCCAGATTCGATTATTTACAGCCAGCCGCCATATAGCTAGAATATTGCTGAGTGTGGCGTAAAACTAAACTCACTCACTCACTCCTACTCCGAGTTGTATTGGCGTCATTTGTAAACAATGTCCCTGTCAACTTCAAATATCAGATATCACGTCGATGAATCACAAGATTCCAATCTATTTCAGATGGCACGACTGGACGAAGTGTCTCAACCCAGTGTACCGTATCCCTATGAAATTGTTTGGAGACTCAACAAGTCTCGGCGCAATCCCTACCAGTCATCGTACTTCGTCTCCAACTCAGACTGATCACAGCATAAAGTGTCATGCATAGAGATAAGACACACTTGGTCGTGCACAGATTTCCTGTTGGTCTCAACATGGTGCAGTAGTATATGCTAGAGATTATTTAAACACATGGACTGGTATTTTGACATGTATGCGTTCTATAAGATCTATGAAAAACATGTTAACAGATATCACCAGGTGCTACACATGGCAGGACAGGTGTTTAGGAAAATATAGATAATAGGAATGAACTTGAACTTCGGCAAATTCAAGAAATATTTGCATCCACAGCAGAGAAATCTGACAATTTACAATCAATAGACAGCAGAAATGGGCTTCACACATTGTACCCACATAAGGAATCGAACCCGTGTATCCGGCGTTATGTGCTTCACGAACACTTTAACCACTAAGCTACCCCGCTGTCCCATTCTTTTCCAGTGATTATCCCACCGTCCTTCACATTTGAATTACAATCTTTATCAAATATTTGTTTTGGATCATGTTACCAAACCACATGTGTGCAATCAACCGTTCTGCACAATGTTTCTACGCAATAAAAACTTACAGAAGACAATAGCAAATTCCGGTGAGTGGCACTGGTACCTGGATCCAAGTCGTCTGCATGTTCTAATTTGTTCACAAGAACCTCATTTTGAAACCACATTGATTGAAACTTGTCACACATCTCAGTTGTAAGTACTCAATGTCGTTATTCATAATAACTAGTACCGCCTCCGTGGTGTAGTGGTTAGAGCGTCCGCCCGGAGAACGGAAGGTCGCGGGTTCGATCCCCGACCGCGTCATACCAAAAGACGTTAAAATAGGGTACTTGTTGGTCCCTGCCTGGCGCTCGGCATTAATGGGTACAACAAGGACTGGTCGGCTCGGAGTCAGTATAATGTGTCTGAGTGGGGTATTCATGCTTCACTGCGGCATGGTATCTCAGTGGGCTAGCACTATAAAACCAGCTTCAGTCTGGGCTAGTACAAGCAGCCGCACATACACATACAAACGCATGGACGCCGTCATATGAGCGAAATATTCTCAAGCACGACGTTAAACCCAATTTCACCACCTCATAATAACTAACTGCGAGTTGCCCCTTGATCTTGGCACTCTTTTCGCACCTGTGCTTTCTTTCAACAATAACCTCACACATTATGTTCTAACTTAAATACTGTTCAATATCTATGGTTTGAAGAGAGACACATCCCTAGCACGCCCTTAAAGCTCCCCTTTACAATATTTCTAGTTCTTTGAATGACATTAAGAAACGATACGCATGAAGGAGAGAATTTATGGATGGGATTTTGAGGAAGATACCTTCGAGGAAATCCTTAGTACATGTATTTGTATTCATCAGGTGAACGGATGCTTGGAAAGCGGTTCCATTTACGGCGTTTGTTCCTAGTAAATCTTTGTGTAGTGTCGCAAACACTAAGACCTGATTAGTGAGATTGTAGCTCGAGCAATATCCAGGGGGCAAATCATCAGGGCGCTAACTAAATATTTTGAAAGAAAACCGACTTTGTAATCAAGCTATATGTGACGAATTCCGTTTTTTACTCAATCACTCATCCTCAAATTATCCAAATGTATAAAACACTGTTTGTGCCTCTTCAAATGATATCATGTGAATATTTTATCTATATGTATATATACCTGTAAGTTCTCTATATCACTTTTTGTAATTTTTGAGAATAAAATTCTGCTCTGTTCTGTTCATCTCATGTGCACATTCGGTGTATATACATTGATACAACGGCATCTCATCAACTTCAATGGTAGATCGATCTCATGGATATTTCGTAATAATATGACATATGTTAATAATGATGATCTTGATAATGAAAATTGATTAATTACTGGATTTTGTCTGGTCCTGGCACAACCCGGCACGGATCTGGATATATTGTTGAGTGTGCCACTGAAAAACAACAGCATCAAAATGGTATGCAAATCATCTTGTTTAAGATTATCACACGATTTGGGAAGTTTCAAGGAGGCCTGTCTTCAGACAGTTTGAAAGGTTAATCACATAGATATTAGCCGTTCATATCCTCAGCTGCAGTTCAGTTGGGACGGGAAGTGTACTTTGCAAACAATACACTTATTTGAAATTCGAAAACCAAAACAATAATCACAAATACATTTGTCTCTCTACACCTCTTCCGCGAAATTGATGTCGTTTATTTAGACTGTTTATATAAACACATGTCTAATCAGATACGATCGAAGCGTTGTATATTTCACACAGGTGTTAGCCAGCACGGTCACGTGATGTCATGGTAACGGATTGAACCAATCAGAGCTCACATCCGCTGCACGAGTTTTTGGTGCGCGTTAATTCAGACTCCACGATAGGAAGCAGACGTGATGTGTACTCAACCACAGCCTGGACTCAAGTCAAGTTAATTACAACAAAACCTCGGAGTCGGTTTTGATCCTTCACAACAAACTGGTAAGAATTCATTCTAAATTGACACGAACAAAAGCTCAAACACTTATTCGTACTGTTTCCACTATTTTTTACGCGCTACTATGAACAATTTTATGTTATGTGAAGTGCATTGTGTAGCAAGAAGATTGTCCACAAAGTAACGTCTTTCCACTTGACATTTCGTCTTTTATGATTTCGGGAGAAACTTAACTTAGGTAAGTGCAGGAATGTATAATGATTTGGCAATCAATTTATGACCATATATCCCGGTGTCAGGGGTTTTCGACGATGAGCCATACTTTTTGCTCCGCACTGCGAGGGAGTGTTGTGATCACTTGACTTCCTGTTTATACACGTATATTGCCTGTCACCAGCAGACGACTGATCTAACTGAATTTTCGCTTGCTATTTTTTGTTATAAAGGGAACTGATTTTGCATCGTAAGTGGTAATAACGATCTCGGGTAAATAATAGTGATGTTTGTTTGCTTTTCATATAACTTTACTTCCCGATTTCCATTGTCAATAAAACTTCTCACGACAGCGACTAGGCACCCGCCCTACCAGTGAAACTGTTTGTGCACTCCGATCGCACACGTACTCCTCCGATAAAGTGCGTGCAATGCAATCGTCGAAATCACCAGAACGTCGAATTCAGCTCGTGTTGGGATATACTACCGTGCAGAAGACGTATACACAAAAACATGATAAACTTTATGAAATACTACCGTGCAGAAGACGTATACACAAAAACATGATAAACTTTATGAAAACGTTACAAGTACTTGTCATTCCGTTGTGAGATACTCACTGAGATGATGTAATAATGTAACATGTAATATTCTATTTGATTCCCTTTTTAGATACATCATACTGAAATAACCATTCCATTTTCTGCCGACATCAAATATAGTACTGAAACACTATATTTTGCCCGTCAGTTTATTGTCACACATATTTTGCCCGTCAGTTTATTGTCACACATACATATGTAAAGCATGACCACGGAAGTCTGAAGTTCTGATTCAAAACTGTGCGGTTTCTTGGTCCACAAAACACCAATACCAAGGATTCAGAATATGAATACCAATTTTCACTATAGTTTCAAATGTTTGCGATAGTTTCATTCTTGGGATTGCTTTATAATTTGTTTCACAATGTGAGTGTCTTCTAGCGATTTAGAGCCCACATGTTGTAGTGGCTGGGGCCTCTTTCCCAGTGTCATTGTGTTTTCATATTCACTCTCCCGGAAATCGGAAAATCATTGTTCGAACCCAGTGCAGCGTTACACCAAAATGCGTAAAACATTAGACGATACTTGTTGTTACGGCGCGCGGGATAACAGGTCGGCTAATTTAGTATAATGAGTTTGAGTAGGCAATCTATTTTAAAATTGCGACATCAACGTAACAATAGTTTTATGTAAACATTTAGTATTTGTGAAGCCATATGTTTTGGAAAAAAACAAAACCATTTGAAAGTAAAATAAAGAAAAACAGCAAAACAAAATTTAACATGGATTTGAAGTCCAAGGAAGGTTGCCTTAGAATTTGGAGGTTAGAGTTTTCTGGTTTGCATTCGAAATTGGATGAAGATAAATTTACATGAACTTTGATTGCACCTCTTGTGAAATAGAAATACATTGGGATACAGGCATCCATGGTTCTAAAACCAACAGGTTGGATATATAGTTAGAGATTCTTTCATTTTTACACAATTCAAAGCAACGTAGGTCAATTAATTACAATTAACTTCGGATGTAAATGGAAACCTATGTAGAACTGAACTTAAACCATAGACATTGTGACAAAGCTGGTTATTACGTTTTACCGGTTTTCAGGAAACATATTGCATGTCATAAATATTGTTATGGTTAAGGGTTGTATTGTAAATATAATAGGCGATGTTGGCCATGCTGACGGCTATATATACGTACTACTTCCTAAACTCCATATTTAGTTTGAATAATTTCGAAATTGAAAACCAAACCATTATAACATTATCTTTATATGATAGAATGCACCTGCACATTTGTATCTTATTACAATTGTTGAAATAAGTGCTTATTATTCATTCATAATTATTGACTGATCAGTGTAGTAATTCAGCTCCAAGTAGCCCTGTCTTCAGTAAGAATCCGAACCATAGCATTATGACTAACAGGACAGAGAGCAGGTCAGCCCTCCATTGTTGGGCCAACGCGCTTGTGGAAAATCAGCCTGAATAGGTTTTACAATGATAAACTATCACTATAATATGATAACTCGATGATGTATATTTAAGACGATAAAGCTGTGTTGTACAGTCATTTTTTCGGCATCATTTTTAATTAGGACACTATCTTAACTTGATGTGTCTTCGATAGTACCAGCAGCTTGATGTAAACATGACATCATACCTACACGACCAAGGTGCCTTGTACCCGTGAAGGTCCGGGTTAGAATATTGATCTTCAGTAACCCATGCTTGTCGTAAGAGGCGACTAACGGGATCGGGTGGTCAGGCTCGCTGACTTGGTTGACACATGTCATCTGTTCACATGTCATTGCGCATATCAATGCTCATGCTGTTGATCACTGGATTGTCTGATCCAGACTCGATTATTTACAGCCCGCCGTCATATAGCTGGAATATTGCTGAGTGCAGCGAAAAACTAAATTAACTCACTCACCAAGGTGTCTTGACAGGGTTTACTCAGTAAAACTGTCCGTGGTAACATGGGCTCCATTCTGAGAAAGCCATGTTATGCTGGACTTTCCCTGTGAAGAATGTGGTCAGTAGATATAGGGGGTGTCTTTTGCTGGTCAATTGTTCCGAGTAGCGGGGAAAGTATAACCCTCCGCATTCATGGTGAAGTGTAAGAATGAGTTGCGGGTGCTGTCCACACCCAATGATACCTCAGTTACGTACAGAGGCAGTTGTAGTGACAGCTGAGGTCGTCTGAAAGCTTGTTCCCATATCCGATCATACATCGGTAGATAACGAAAAGCACCTTGACAGAGACATTAAAAAAGTTGTTAATACGATTTCGATTTACTTGTCACTGTAGCCTGTGTAGAGACAGTTGAACATCACTGACTAGTCTGTCTCTCAGTTCCTGAACCTCATTATTTCCCCTTCTGCTAAATCTCTTAATGAAGCAAGTCTAGATTTCCTCAGGTTCTAAATTTCACTTCTCACTGTTGTTCTTTTTCAACATAAAAGGGATTATTTGTTTCTCTCAAAGCAATATATTTTCCAAGACTAGGCGTTAGTCTAATAATTGACTTAAAAACCACCAAGTCGATATTTGGTTTAAGAGGATATAACAATCACGTCCCGTCAGAATCCTTTGGACACATTCATCCAATATCCGATTACCAGGACGCTCAATGTTATCACTCTCAAAATATCCCTAATTCCTCCTCTTGGGTGATTTTGAAAGAGGTGCGGTATTGAGCCTAGGAAAAGAACCGTGACTATTCAGTAAGTGGGGCAGAGTTGTATTCAGGAACAGGTGACGTTGGTTTGTTCATTGCGGTCTTGTTAGATTCTGTTACATCACTCTGTCTACACAGAGCTACACAGATCATTGATTTTGCCAACAGTAAATGCTGCAGACAGCGGAAGCCGATTGATATGTCGATATCACTTTCACATTGGTCTCCAGCATTGATGGTTTCCTCTTTCATACCTTGAGACAACACACTTCCTGCTGTGGTTGTGAAGACTGTCGAATACGACCAAAATAGGGACATGAGAGTGGCTAATTTAAGGCTTTACATTTTGGGTTTGGAATCCCCGTAAGGTAAATATTGTAACCCTGACAACAGGGCGATTAGATCAACTGTCTCAGTGTTCCTTATTATTGGCAAGAAAAGCACAGGTTGAATTACAGACAGGGTGAGGTCCCATCAAATCGATAAATCAATAAGGCACTTATTTACGGTATAATCGTATTATTGGGAGCCTTATTATGTTTAACGTTCTTACGGAATCTGCTCCAAGCTGGTATTTGTAATGTCTCAGTGTATTGAAGACCATGTATTCAAATCAACATTTTAGCTGCATTGACATTTTAAAAACAGAACATCTGTGAATTTCATCATCAAATTTACTTTGTTAGTAATTGAAATATAAATATAACACGCCCTTGATAATAGAGGGGTTGAAGATTGGTCTCAAAACAAACAGTGAGCTACTAGTTAGCAGTAAATCCTTCGCTAACACAACATATAATATACATGAGCCCATTTGAGAAATAGACTGTTGAGATAATGTACTTTGGGGAGAGAGAATGTGCACATGTGGATCTGCAGTGTATTTGTGATAGTTTATTGAATCAATAGTGGCCTCAATTGGCATGTGGCGTGTAGGGTAGGGGCGGAAGTCGTTAATTTTGTATAACCACAATTGCCGGAGTAGTTTATACAAACTGAGCCTGAGATACCTGAACAACAGAACTGTACAGGTCAAATTGCATTCCAGAAAATACATTCTTCAAAAAGACATCAATACCCACACTTTAATGAATGTGATGGAGAATCTGATGATACATTTAAACAAATTTCAGACTTCTTCTGAAACAATTGACTTTATTCTTCACTAGGGCATTTCCATGGTCTAGAAAACAAACCAACTCCTGAAGTCCTACATTATTCCTTTGATGCTACTCTTGCTTGCTGTTGAGTGTGAGTGTGACAGAGATCCTCATGCAGACATTCTGTCATACTGGAATAAGAGATCTGATGTTGATGAGATTAAAAATATTGACCATGCATTCTTGTGACCTTGACCTTAAGAAAAAGGTAAACAAAAGTCCAAACAAACTTACCTAATCATAGCTTGCTGATAGTGCTTCAGTTAACGTTACTGGCATCAAAAGCTGTTTGAAAGATTTTATCATAACTGGTAGCAGTGACCCTGAATGTTGACCTTTGACATGCTGGGGGTCACCTATATTTGCATGTATGAAAACTGTTACAAGTACAGGTCTTCCATAATGTCCATGTGGTACAACTGGAAACATTTGGATATTCATATGTTTCACACTTACCTATTCCTAAAACCAAGTTTTCATTTGAATGCTATGTGATAGTAATAACATTGAGGCAAAATGGGGTTAAACGTTGTGTGTCCAGTTTCAACATGGAATCAAAAGCTAATCAGATACAACAAACTCATTTTTTCAACCAGTTTTATCTCCAAAAGGCTGAGTGCATGGACGAGAAACAAAAAGTACTATTCAGGGATTTACAGGACGCTGCATAAAATTGACAATGGCCTCAATGAAATTTATTAGCGCATCCACAGGGACGCAGAAAAAGTCCAAATACTTTTGTAAAAATTCCAGTCAAGTAACAATAAGTTATCACTGAGTTTGCTTCTAGCTGGGTCATTGTATCATTTGCAATTTCATTATTGTAACAATTAATGTGTTGATCATGATACACAATACAATAACTATAACAGTATTCATAATAATATTTAAGTGTCTGGGACCCCCATTTTTGTTGTCCAGGACCCCTGAAATTTATAAGCATGAGTCACAGGGACCCTCAAATACAGGACTCAAGGTAAATCCATGACTATTTTTTCAACAACTTTCTTTAGGAGCAATGCTGCTGGGTATTTTTAACCACAGACCTTCCTCACTCTGGTCAGATGATTGAACCACTAGACCACAGAGGAAGACATTAGCCATATAGACACATAGACATCAAACTAGAACATGTGAAGAATATAATATTGATATATTCAAATAGATATAAAAATACAACACAACAATGTATCTTTTCCTACCATCTGTTTAATCAATGACTTCTGATTATAACATGCCTCTGCATACAGTAACAATATCAATAATCAATATTCATTGAAACAAACTGTCTCATTTAAACTGGCACATAAGACCCAGTAATTGCAAATTAATGGTCGGGACCGATACTTCGAGTTTATCACAATTTTACATTTCACAAACATTTCACACTTGCCAACTGTTTAACAGTATTGATCTGTCTGGATAAATAATCATGTTTTTTTCTAATGACACCTAAAAGAACAAGTTGATATTTTGATAACTGATAATCAGTTTATTTGTACAATAAACAAGATGTATGGTTATCCAATCAAAAGCTGGAGAGCTGGTGCTGCAAGACAGCCATTGGTCAATATCTCTTAATTTCCCAGCCACTTTGAAAACAAAACTGCAGACAGCAGTCAAACAACTTGATTATATGAATAGCAATAAAAATGTACCAAAACCTAAACTACTGAATATGGAGATTTTTTCATTTTTTCAATTTTTTTATGGACAAGAAAAGCTAAAAGAACATTCTGACTAATATGTGAAAAATTACACTTATAAAATTCTTTGGTCTTGTCCAGGCATGTTTTCTAGTCAGTTATGAAGCAGTTTTTCAACACTTATTTCACCTACTGATAATAGTTATATCCACCTCTGATTTGGTATTCTCTGCAAAACACTAGCAAGGCCATGCTAGAGGTTCATATTTGGCCCCAGGCCTGCAGCAAATGGGAGTAAATATTCCAAGTTTGAATTGAAATGGTCCCAATTTATATAAATTTATGAAAATGAAAACACTTTCGACAATTAGACAAAACTGATAGGTTGAGAGCTGGAGAGCCCTGATAATTGAGATACATCCAGGAAGACACAATTTTCTGCATGGTCTATATAATGTGTAACTTTTCATAAACAGATTAAGAGTTTGACTTTTCACAGACATTAGTTTATGACATTGTTGTCCAAACAAAGAGACATATCTCTCGAAATCAACTTAACCAATAATCACAGTCTCTTAAAAAATTCAATGCAAACTCGGTATAGCCAGCTTAAAAGATCAAATAAACTATTTAAATTTATTACAATAAGGCACATGAAATACTTTCAACAATATTTAAGCTTCATTTTTCAAGCAGCACCTCTTAACATAAACCATGAACTTTCTCCAGTTTACTACTTTGTCTGGGTAACAGAAAACAAGGACTTGAGCTAAAAAAGCCACAATGTACTTGATAACAGAGTCCATGTGTCGTATTAACCAAAGACGTCCGTCTCAACTGGAAGCGTCAATTTCAGGGAGATGAGCCGTTAATGTCCATGTTTGTCATGGGAGCCCTTCAATCGACATACGACGACAGGGACGTGTGAATGGTGAATGATGTAGTCACTGACGCTGCCAACAAATGTACGCCTGATCTGCCCCATTCCGCGTGTTCCTGTTACGATCAGACTCGCCTTCTCCTCGTCTGCGACTTGACATACAACCTCGCCTGGGCTTCCTCCTATGCTCTTAACTTTACCACCAATCTGAAAGTGAAAAACTTCACAATTTACTACTATTTACCATAAATACCTCACTATATTCAAGTGTGCAAGAGGATGTGTAGTAATGTGATTGTTGTACTTTGAAGATGGGATCAAATGTAAAAGCATAAGTTCATAACAGACTGTACAGAACAACAGGTATTTTCTTTCCCCACTTAAGAACATCAGTTTTATCCCTCCCAGCTGTCAGGCCAATATCTAGTACTTGGAACAGTTTAGGTCTCACATCTCGTAGAAGTCAAGAAATATTTTGTTGATAGAAAAATCATAAACATTCAGCATTCTTCCTGTTTTATTCATGTACTTAGCAATTGCATAAGATAGTAATGGGATAATATGCCATGCATGTCTAAACAAAAAATCTGCATGGAAACAAGAAAGCAATCTAACCAGAAAATATTTTTATCTCAGATTCTATGATTCAGTTCTTTGGTTGGAAGCAGAAACAAACCCATTCTCACCCCAATATCCTTCAGGGTACCTAAACATAGACTATAGTATAAACGGCACCCACATTGTGCACCTTAATTCCACTCCCATACACCACAACCTCTCCCTAACCTATCGTCATCCTTGTATTATTCAGTGTCTTCCCAATGGGTATATTCATTCTCCCGCACATCCAACTGCCCATCCTTATCCTCTTCTCCCCCAGTATCCTTCATTTCCTCCCAAACACACTGCTTATGTCCCTTCAACTCCTCTGATTCCAGCTATTTCAAACATGTAGAATGTTCCATCTTAAGTCATCCTTCAGCTTTAATCCCCTACCCACCTCCCAACTCCGACCCAGCTTTCAACCCATCCACTCCCCACCCAGCTCTCATCCCATCCACTTCCCACCCAGCTCTCAATCCATCCACTCCCCACCAGCCCACTTCCCACCCAGCTCTCATCCCATCCACTTCCCACCCAGCTCTCAACCCATCCACTTCCTACCCAGCTCTCATCCCTTCCACTTCCCACCCAGCTCTGATCCCATCCACTTCCCACCCAGCTCTCATCCACCCACTTCCCACCCAGCTCTCAACCCATCCACTCCCCATCCACTTCCCACCCAGCTCTCATCCCATCCACTTCCCACCCAGCTCTCATCCCATCCACTTCCCACCCAGCTCTGATCCCATCCACTTCCCACCCAGCTCTCATCAGACCCACTTCCCACCCAGCTCTCAACCCATCCACTTCCCACCCAGCTCTCACCCATCCACTTCCCACCCAGCTCTCATCCCATCCACTTCCCACCCAGCTCTCATCCCATCCACTTCCTACCCAGCCCAGCTCTCACTCCCCACCAACCCACTTCCCACCCAGCTCCCATTCAACCCATCACCCAGCTCTCAACCCATCCACTTCCCACCCAGCTCTCAACCCATCCACTTCCCACCCAGCTCAACCCATCTACTTCCCACCCAGCTCTCAACCCATCCACTTCCCACCCAGCTCTCAACCCATCCACTTCCCACCCAGCGCTCAACCCATTCACTCCCTACCAACCCACTTCCCACACAGCTCTGAACCCATCCACTCCCCACCCAGCTCTCATCCCATCAACTCTCCACCAACCCACTTCCCACCCAGCTCTCAACCCATCCACTCCCCACCCACCTCTGACCAGCTTTCAACCCATCCACTTCCCACCCAGCTCTCAACCCATCCACTCCCCACCCACCTCTGACCAGCTTTCAACCCATCCACTCCCCACTAACCCAATTCCCACCCAGCGGTCAGCCCATTCACTCCCCACCAACCCACTTCCCACCCAGCTCTCAACCCATCCACTTCCCACCCAGCTCTCAACCGACCCACTTCCCACCCAGCTCTCATCCCATCCACTTCCCACCCAGCTCTCAACCCATCCACTTCCCACCCAGCTCTCAACCGACCCACTTCCCACCCAGCTCTCATCCCATCCACTTCCCACCCAGCGCTCAACCCATTCACTTCCCACCAACCCACTTCCCACCCAGCGGTCAGCCTATTCACTCCCCACCAACCCACTTCCCACACAGCTCTGAACCCATCCACTCCCCACCCAGCTCTCATCCCATCCACTTCCCACCCAGCTCTCATCCCATCCACTTCCCACCCAGCTCTCAACCCATCCACTTCCCACCCATCTCCCCTCCCATCAACTCTCCACCAACCCACTTCCTACCCAGCACTCAACCCATTCACTCCCCACCAACCCACTTCCCACACAGCTCTCAACCCATCCACTCCACACCAACCCATCAATGAAGATCAGAGTTAGAAATGCGTAGATCGATGCTCATGCTGTTGATCACTGGATTGTGTGGTCCAGACTTGATTATTTACAGACCGCCACCATATAGCTGGAATATTGCTGAGTGTGGCATAAAACTAATCTCACTCACTCTCCACAGCTCTCACCCTAGTCTGTCTCACAGTCCCTGAACCACATTAATTTCCCTACTGCCAAGCCCTCTCTGCAGTGCTAAAGCCCTAAATAAAGCAAGTCTAGATTTCCTCAGGTTCAGGATCTCAGGTTTTGAATCTCTGGTCTCCCTAGGGCTCCTTTTCAATATAAATGGGCTTGTTTGTTACTATCAAAATTATATATATTCAGAGACTAAGCCTTAGTCTACTCTCACCCCAGCCTCCCTCAGCTTCTTCCCCAGGGTCTCCAGGAACTCCTTCACCTTCTTCTCCTCGTCCCTGTACAGGTCAGTCAGTACAGTCACATCAGCCATCACCATCGCTGTAGATGAAAATCAAATTTGAATGATGCCACTAACAAACTTTATTAGCTTGTATTGGGAGCCCCTTCATTAAAAACCCACAGACAGCGAAGTGTGCATGGTGAACATTATCGTCACTGATGCTACAACCATGTATGCCAGATCTGACACGTATTGCGTGTACCTGTCACAATCATACTTGCCTTCTCATCCCCTGCGAATTGACAAATGTTCTCCACTGGGTTGCCTCTAACCCCCATATTCCAGTCGATCTAATCCTTTACAAATATCTAATAAAACTGACTGCAAATACAAATTTTCTCTGTCCTTGAATGACCTGACTAAATCAATATTCAAATGGATGTAAAGAATATAGGCATCTTGTTAATTGGGGACAGAAGGATTGTATGGCATTAGCATAATATTCAAAGAATAATTTTACAGTAACCATGGTTACCATGGCAACTACAACAAACATTTCTGAGGTGGATCCAGGAATTTTCAAAGGGGGGCGAACCCAGCATATTTTCATGTTTTTTTCAACTTGAGCCATTGGGAGTCGGCCTTTCAAAGTAAATTTCAGTTTCTTTCTTATACAGGGCTCAAATTCATGATAATTTTAAGCAGGGGTGCACATGGTGCAGTAAAATCACAATGGAAGTTTAAGTGGCTACAGGGCACACTTAGGAATCATGTCACATGGTGATTATTAAATCAGTTATCAAAGTATTTTTGTTCAGAAAAATACGGAAAACATGGCAAATGAATACATGAATATAAACTCTGTCAAAAAAGAAACGCAACCCCTGTATTTTAGAGATTTTGATCTGAAGTTTTAAGACGACACAGCATTTTTATTATTTAAGACAGAAGTCTGAAATTTGGCAGAATAATAACCAAGATGGGCATGTTTAAAATTGTCATTTCAAAAGTCATCTCACAGACACCAGTTTGTCACCAGGGGGGCGTCTTTCTCAGTATCTCGATGAGCACCACGAGCTGCAATCACTGCACGGCATCTCCTTGGACAAGAGCGGATAAGGCGCGGATTCTTTCCTGGGGAATGGCTCTCCACTCCTCCTGCAGTGCAGCGCCGAGCTGTTGCAGCGTCTGTGGCGGCGACTGGCGTTGGCGTCTGTTGTCGACCCAGAGTATCCACAGGTGTTCAATAGGGTTGAGGTCTGGTGATTTAGAGGGCTATGGCAAGACATTGGCGTTGGAATTCTGCAGAAAGTTCATTGTTGCCGCGTGCAGTATGAGGCGGGGCGTTGTCTGGTTGAAAAATCTGTGTCTGTTGGTCAATAATCGGGAGAAGGTGAGGCTGTATATCGTGGTTGATGTAGCGTTGGGCTGTCAGGTTCCCTTCAACGATCACCAAGTCTGATTTCTGGTTGTATGAGATGGATCCCCAAACCATAGCGCTTTCTCCGCCAAATCTGTCCCCTGTCGGACGCAGATGGGCAAAAAGCGTTCATGGCGTCTCCTATACACCGTTTTCTTCCGTCGTGATGTTGCAAAAGAAAACGGGATTCATCAGAAAACCAGATCGCCTCCAGTTTTGTAAAGTCCATATCCTTACGTTGTTGCACCACCTGAGTCGTCGGTGAGGAGATGTAGGGGCGTAGTACAGGTCCAACAACTGGTCTACAGGCACGTAAACCCGCTTCTTTCAGGCGGTTCCTAATCGTTTGAGCTGACACTCTCCTCAAACCTGGTATTTGTGTGGCAGTCACGGTTGGTAGGGCATGCCGATTCATGAGGTGATGGACCGGATGTACCGATCTTGAAGGGGGTCGTGATTCTTGGCCTTCCACTTCTCGGCGTCGTTGGTCAAATTGAAGTTGTTGTAGCGGCTCAAAAGTCGGGATATCGTTGTTTTGTGAACATTTAGGTGCCGTGCAACAGTTCCAAAACTTTCTCCGGCTTGAACACGACCAATGGCGATATTTTCGATCGGCAGCACTCAATCGTGGCATTTTTCACACAGCTTTTCATCGCGACAAATGAATGAATATAATCACGAAAAGCACATGGGCTTTTATACACCCCTACATTAACTGCCATTTTCATGATTTGCATGTGGTTTTTTTTCTGCGAAGTCACCATGAGGGTCATTTCATGCGTTGTGACGGAATAAGCAATAAAATACACTTATGCGTACAAATGCAGTTGTTTGGATGGTAATCTTCATTAATTACGTGTATAATTTCAATACATTCGAATAACATTTAGTTTGGAAGCAATAACTTCATTCAAACGAATTTTTCATATCTGAGGACAGGGGTTGCGTTTCTTTTTTGACAGAGTTTACGTTCCAAATATAGCATGAGATATTACAAAATAATGGATGTCCACTGGGATTCAAAGAGGTGTCGAGAGCTGGCAATGGGAAGATAAGAGGAAGGATGGACTAAGATTAACATGACAATTAACAGAACATGCTGGCAGTGTTTTGTAAAAATGCAAACAATCAAACGATGGACAGGGTGTGTAGTGAGAGAACTAACATTTCTGATGACTGGTACAATAATGCATCATGCGCCTATGATTTGGGCCTGGTTTCAGAGCAATTGATCCAGCACTCTTGTTGTTCACCTGGGAAGTTCTCAAAGCGAGCTTTTGTCAGATCAGCATGCCAACAGCCGTTAGCAATTATCTGTGCGTTGCAGATACTACATCATAAGTTCCACACATAGAATGATTGAAATCAAGCACATCACAGCTGCATGATAAGTACAATCAATAAGATAGATAACAATAATGGTCAGTAGGGAATTATTGACCTTCCTAGAAACATGGTCCTGGCAAAATCATAATGGATATCCTACACTGGTCTGTCTCTGAACAACATTACAGTATTTCCCCTATTGCTTAACCCTCTCCACAATGCTAAATCTCTAAATGAAGCAAGTCTCGTTTTCCTCAGGTTTTGAATTTCCCATCTCACTGGGGCTCCTTTTCAATTTAGTTGAGTGAGTTTAGTTTTACGCCACACTCAGCAATATTCCACCTACATGGCGGCGATTTGTAAATAATCAAGTCTGGATCAGACAATCCAGTGATCAACAGCATGAGCATTGATCTGCACAATTGGGAACCGATAACATGTATCAAGCAAGTCAGCGAGCCTGACCACCCGATCCCGTTAGTCGCCTCTTACGACAAGCATGGGTTACTGAAGGCTCATTCTAACCCGGACCTTCACGGGTCCTTTTCAATTTAATGGGTTTACTTGTTACTATCAGAATTATATATATTTCAGAGACTACTTGTTAGTCTAATCCTACTATCGGATGTGGTGTTTGTCATCAACACTAATCTTTGTCCTAGTATAGTATGACCAGAAATTATTGAGAATTTTAGGAATATGTTTAATTGGATTTCTAGTATAAACAACCTATCAAGCGCTTGGTTTCATTCAAGAGAAACAAACGAAGGAGTTTAGAAAACTCAGGATATGATTGATAGAGGAACTGTGGCTGTCTGTAAGGAGACAATTAGAACTGAGCTGCATGCAATGGGTTGGCAGAAAAGTCGAAGAATTCCATCACCGATCATGAAACCTGAACAAAAGGAGCGAAGGTTGAACTGGTGCTTACAGCATAGAAATTTTAACTGGGACAATGTGATTTTCTCAGATGAAAGTTCTGTGTGGCTGTTTCCTAATACACTGAAATTCTGGACCAAACAAACTGAAAAACCTTTGTATCAGCGCCCAAAGTACAGTCCGAAATTTAACGTGTGGGTTGGCATATCTGTGTTAGGGGCAACGCCCCTCTGTGTGTTTGAAGGCAATATGAACAGTCAGCGGTACACAGATATTCTCGAGGGACATTTACTTCCATCTGCTCACGTGTTCTATGGACATTTTTGGATTTTCCAGCAGGACAAAGACCCAAAGCATCGTTCAAAGCATTCACAGGCCAGGTTTCGGACCCAAAATATGACATTATTACATTGGCCAAGCTATTGCCCTGACCTAAATCCAATAGAAAATGTTTGGGGACTGATGAAGGCAAGTGTCAATAAGAAAAATCTGACAAATATTGCTGAAATGAAAGGAGAGGTGGTCTGATATTGGGACAGCATGGACCAAGACTTTCTAACTTCTTTGATCAGTAGTATGCCCCACCGCATTGAAGCCAGCATTGCTGCCCATGGTGACATGACAAAATACTAACTGTTCACCTGTCTTTGAATCTGAAGTTATGTTCTGCTAATATTGACATTTAATACGTGAGTAATGAGTGAAAAAAAATAAAAAATTACAATCTTTAACTTCTCAATAATTTCTGGTTGTACTGTATTTGGTGTTAAAATTATTCATTTCATGAAGCCCGGTTAGTTTTTAGGAGCATATGTGTATACAATATGTATACAAAACAAGTACACATTTAGTACACGGATAGTTTTAACATACAAATCTTTTTTGTGCCCTGTGGAAACAAAATGAAAAAATTAAAAAAGAAAAAGATATATCTATAAATGCTGTACATCTTGCTTAGAAAACAAAAAGGATGATCCCAGTGCCCTTATCAGTAGGAATCCTATTATCATGTTTGCCATCCAACTGAAGCTTGGACATGGGTTGAGCTGACTGTGTGTGTGTTCGTGCATGTGCATGCACGTGTGTTAGCTTATTAGTCTGAGAGGAGTAGCAATCGAGATGGACTAGTTGTTTTATCACAACCCTTCTGACTGAACATAAACAATATGCCTGAAATGAGCTGCAGACTTGATGGATATGACCACTGTCACTACCCATTGTACTAGCCTCAAGCAAACCAATGGTGACTACCCACTGTACTAGCCTCAAGCAAACCAATGGTGACTACCCACTGTAGTAGCCTCAAGCAAACCAATGGTGACTACCCACTGTACTAGCCTCAAGCAAACCAATGGTGACTACCCACTGTACTAGCCTCAAGCAAACCAATGGTGACTACCCACTGTACTAGCCTCAAGCAAACCAATGGTGACTACCCACTGTACTAGCCTCAAGCAAACCAATGGTGACTACCCATTGTACTAGTCTGGAGAAAACCAATGATGTCTACCCATTGTAATAGTCTGGAGCAAAGCAGTAGTGTCTACCCATTGTACTAGTCTGGAGCAAACCAGTGGTGACTACCCACTGTACCAGCCTCAAGCAAACCAATGGTGTCTACCCATTGTACTAGTCTGGAGCAAACCAATGGTGTCTACCCACTGTACTAGCCTCAAGCAAACCAGTGGTGACTACCCACTGTACTAGTCTGGAGAAAACCAATGGTGTCTACCCATTGTACTAGTCTCAAGCAAACCAGTGGTGACTACCCATTGTACTATTCTGGAGCAAACCAATGGTGACTACCCATTGTACTAGTCTGGAGCAAACCAATGGTGACTACCCACTGTACTAGTCTGGAGCAAACCAATGGTGTCTACCCATTGTACTAGTCTGGAGCAAACCAGTGGTGTCAACCCATTGTACTAGTCTGGAGCAAACCAATGGTGACTACCCACTGTGCTAGTCTGCACCAAACCAGTGGTGACTACCCACTGTACTAGCCTCAAGCAAACCAATGGTGACTACCCACTGTGCTAGCCTCAAGCAAACCAGTGGTGACTACCCACTGTATTAGCCTGAAGCAAACCAATGGTGACTACCCACTGTGCTAGCCTCAAGCAAACCAATGGTGTCTACCCTTTGTGCTAGTCTGGAGCAAACCAATGGTGTCTACCCATTGTACTAGCCTCAAGCAAACCAATGGTGACTACCCACTGTAGTAGCCTCAAGCAAACCAATGGTGACTACCCACTGTACTAGCCTCAAGCAAACCAATGGTGACTACCCACTGTACTAGCATCAAGCAAACCAATGGTGACTACCCACTGTACTAGCCTCAAGCAAACCAATGGTGACTACCCACTGTACTAGCCTCAAGCAAACCAATGGTGACTACCCACTGTACTAGCCTCAAGCAAACCAATAGTGACTACCCACTGTAGTAGCCTCAAGCAAGCCAATGGTGACTACCCACTGTAGTAGCCTCAAGCAAACCAATGGTGACTACCCACTGTGCTAGCCTCAAGCAAACAAATGGTGACTACCCACTGTGCTAGTCTGCACCAAACCAGTGGTGACTACCCACTGTACTAGCCTCAAGCAAACCAATGGTGACTACCCACTGTGCTAGTCTGCACCAAACCAGTGGTGACTACCCACTGTACTAGCCTCAGTTAAACCAATGGTAACTACCCACAGTACTAGCCTCAAGCAAACCAATGGTGACTACCCATTGTACTAGTCTGCACCAAACCAGTGGTGACTACCCAGTGTACTAGTCTGCAGCAAACCAATGGTGACTACCCATTGTACTAGCCTCAAGCAAACCAATGGTGACTACCCATTGTATTAGTCTGCACCAAACCAATGGTGACTACCCATTGTACTAGCCTCAAGCAAACCAATGGTGACTACCCATTGTATTAGTCTGCACCAAACCAATGGTGACTACCCATTGTATTAGTCTGCACCAAACCAAAGGTAGATTGACACATAGTCTCTGAATATATACAATTTTGATAGAAACAAATAATTCCATTTAAATTGAAAAGCAGCTACAGTGAGATGGGAGATTCAGAGCCTGAGGAAGACTTCTTTCAGTTAGGGTTTTAGCATTGCAGAAGGGTCGGGCAGTAGGAATAACAATGCAGTTCAGAGACTGCGTGATTTAAGGCTGTTTTGAGGCATTGACCAGCTGACACGCAGGTCAGAACAACACTGTCGACCCATCCATAAAATGAAGAACTGGAAGAGAAAGGCAGGTTGGAAACAACATGATTCTGTGACCAGCTGAGCAATGTGCAACTTTAATAATGTCCCCAGCTGTTGACATATCAGTATCAATATTAATAGACATGGTAACTTCAGTGAAGTAATGTATTTTATTGCGAATGAATCATAGATATGGAAATGTTTCTCGCTTGTTGATACATACGCGACTGGATGATTGTGTGGTACTCAGGACAGTGGACAAAGATCACGTGGTCATTCTTTCTGTGAACGTTCTTCATATACCCTGAAATGACAAAACAAATAATCTAAGAGTTCACATTTTCAAATCTCTGATTGTTATGGTTTAACATATGTGGAGAATCTTCCTGAAACATTGGTGAAAAAGTCCTTATGAAAACAAAACTTTGGATTTGCTTTTACGCCATAACATGGAATATACCCTGTTGTTTATGTATATTTGCAAGTTATCAGGACTCTCTGTAGTATATGTTGGTGGTCCTGATTATACCTTACTTATTCTCCCCAGTGTGCATAAAACATAACACAGATGTTGTATTTAATTGGCTGTTGGGACAGTGGTCACTACAGGACCACCAACATATACTACACAGAGTCCTAATGACTGAGTGTGGGTTCAGATTCAGATTCAGCCTGACCATGTTTCTTGGTTTGTTAGCACCATATCTTTGGGTTTCACATACCAATGTGAAAGTGGTAAATTTGAGTACCCACTTATAACAGATACCATTGGTAAAATTCCCAGATTGGAAAAGCTTATCTAGACCTCTGGGTTTCAGGATGCCAAACTATGTAAAGAATTTTATTGAGAGAGCGAGTGAGTATGGTTTTACGCCGCTTTAAGCAGTATTTCTGCAAGAACATGGCGGGGAACACCAGAAATGGACTTCACACATTGTACCTATGTGGGTACTCAAACCCGGGTCTTTCTCATGACGAGTGACCGCTTTAACCACTAAGCTACCCAACCGCCCAGACAGAATTTTAAAATTCAATCCAATGTGACAAAAATTTATAATTTCGTTTGCTGACACCTGTAACTCGTGTTAGGTCTTATACTGGGATGAGTTAACTTTAGAATGAAACCGACCCCAAATGTAATAAACTTGTGTAATAATCTTATAATGAAATAAACTTGAAATGACATTAATCTTGCCTGGCTAGTGTACATGACATCTGTCAAGATTTCTATGACATCTACCTCAGTCTGTCAAACATACCAGGAAGTGAGCCAACACAATACATCTTCAAGAATCTGCCATTGTCAATGTAAGGCAAGACAAGCGAAAATGGAAGCTAGAACTGTGAAATTTACAGATGAGTTATTTTGTAAGAGGCGACTAGTCAGGCTCGCTGACTAGGTTGACACATGTCATCGGTTCCCAATTGCGCAGATCGATGCTTATGCTGTTGATCATTGGATTGTCTGATCCAAACCGATTATTTACAGACCGCCGCCATAAAGCTGGAATATTGCTGAGTGTAGCGTAAAACTAAACTCACTCACTCTTTTCGGCATAGGAATTATATTTGTGTATTTGTCACCTGATCTAAAAGTATTATTTTCTTACAGTTTGCAGATATTTTAGCAGAAAGCAGATAGGATAAGGGCCCTCAGGAAATGAGCGAACAGTTTAAAGTTGCAGTTAACTTTGAAACATTGTTATGAATATTAAGAACCGTTCATAATCTATGGCTAGGGGATGATGATGATTTTTATGGAGAAGCATGTACAATGTAAATGCCCCCTCATTGAATATATAATGTAGAGTTCCAACATATAAAGGCATAGATTTTGAGTGTTGAAAATAATATTTTTCTATGCATCTATTCTGTTGCAAATATACAAGAGAAAAGTATAATTATATGACTTAACTATCAAATACCCTCAATGGTAGAGTGGCAGATTATATTTATAGAATATTTTAATACAAACAAGGGGAAAGTATAACAAAGCAAAATAGTAATGTAATTTTATCAAAATGCGAATGATGAAATATATTCTAGCTTGAAAAACAAAAAAATAATGACTGCAAGGATAGTAATGCAATTTTTCGATTGGTTTCATTGGACACCAGACAGATAATTTAGGTGTGCCATCACAACAATTATTTCAGTTTACTGTTGAATAAATCAGTAAACATCATGGTGTAAACCTGTCAACTTGACAGCTGGATTTCCTCAACACTATGATGACAGCAAGAATAGTTCAGCTTCCTTTGTCCTGGACCCATAAACTAACTCACAAACTATGTTATCATCCAAACAGGATTTCATGTGATGCGCAAACCCATGTTAAGCTTGAAGAATGAGTGCCAAGGATAAATTGTTTCATCGGGTGCTAAAATAATTATATGAATCATGGTGAGTATTATGTTCATAATTTTAGTCGTGCTGTCAGGGCACATTGAAAATATTTCATCCGTGCCTTTCCAATATTTACCATGCGATGGCATGCAAATTAAGCATTATTTCGATCCCTCGGCTGAGTAACTGGTTGGAAGTTAGGGATTGAACTAATCTGCATTGTTTATGTCTAAGCTACTGTAATGTATTCTATAGACTTGCATTGTGGACTTCATATTATTTACATTGGACATGCAGTTTATTCAGGAATTATTCATATATGCATAAAATTCTGTCGTGAAAAAAACTATTTCAAAATTGATGCCACATTCTGAATAGAAACTTTGTTGTCATGTTTAGCACTTTTTTCGAAAATATCTGAAAGAAATGTCTGAGGTCTAATGTAAAATGATATTTTTCAATCCCACTGGACTCACAAAAGCCTGTTTGTTATTAACTGACTTGATGAATGCATGACAATGATAATAAACAGTTAGGAAATTGACTATATAGATAAAAATATAATGAGCCTTTTTCAGGCAGTTGAAAAGAATCAACTTAATGCATGTGTTTTGAGTTAACATCAGCCTCCATTTAAAACAATTGCTTTGAAATATATAAACAACAAATAAACACAAAATTAATTTCATCCCATGCATACATGTACAAGGACACAAAAAATACATTTACTTCGAATTGGGGTGAAATGATACAGCAGGTCCTGATACGATACACAGGTCTTGATACAGTACAGATTGTGATACACATAATCACATCAAATCGCTTGGAAACATTTTGAATATATACTAAGGATCAAATCACCTGATGAAGAAGCAAGCATATACTCTGAAACGTTGTGTTATTTACAATGGTGTACGGTCTTAGAATCATTTACATACGTATTTATCTGAAAATGTATTGCTTTATTGTTTGTTAACCTGTTTACACAAGAGTAGCAATGTTGTGGTGCATATATGAAACGAAACGAAACATAAGATTACTGATACTCCATTAAATTCCATTCAGTACTCTAAATGTACTCTTATTGTTTTCCAGTACTCCTATATTGAAAAAATAAGGAGTCCGTACTCCTGATCATGAAAAATTATCTGGAGCCCTGGTACTGTTACAGGATAAACTTAAGCATGTTTCACCCCTTCTATCCAAACAAACTGGCATCAAAAAATAATAATAACAATGAGTCCATTTATATGGCGCCATCGAAGGACAATATTATGACATGTTTACATTCCATTCAAGTGATTTACATGGTATCAGTTCTGTTATTATTGTTTGATTGATTGCTTATATTAGTGATCCATGTAATTACATATTTGTAGCTATATTTTAATATCTGTGCAATATGGTGCAGTTCCTGCATCAGGGAGTGGGTGAGTTTAGTTTTACACCGCTTTTAGCAATATTCCAGCAATATCATGGCCGGGCACAACAGAAATGGGCTTCACACATTGTACCCATGTGGGAATCAAACCTGTGTCTTTGGCATGACGAGCGAACGACTTAACCACAAGGCTACCCCACTGCCCCACCAGCATCATATAATGACATTGGTTTTCCCTAAATAACACCGGTCCAGGATTTAGCCACTTAAATTTATAGAACTGAGAGGACTTCTCAACATTTCAAATAAGCATTAGCAGGGTATGACTGGTATTAAAGTACTCGTAAATATACAATGAAGAGGGGATGATGGTGAGAAAAGGCAAAGCATTCCATTGTTTCAATCAGATTTTCAGATTCCTGTAATTTTGCTTGCTAGGACTAGCCTTGGAAGCATCTAAATGTTTGGTTTTCTCCGCATTTGTAAATAATGGAAGAAGGGAATGTTGTTTTATATTAGAGATTTTTCCAGGTAATTGACACCAACTTTCATGAGATGTGTGCCGGGGGAGGGATTGCCTGCTGTTGACAGCGTCAGTGTAGCGGCCGTAAAATTTCCGAGTACCGTGCTGGGATTCAAACCACGGACCTTCTGATCCAAAGTCGGACGCCTTGTCCACATGGCCAAAGAGGTTAACCCCGTAAGGAGGCTCACAAGGTAAGGATGTCATCTGTCGGATGACTCCAGGCCCTGCTACATAAGCACTAAATCACTTCGTATTGCCTTTAAGATGAATGTTGGAATATTATTGCAAACATAACTCTTGTGTGTTTTTAGTCATCTGCAGCTTTGATGCTTGTAAATAATACACAAACTGGACAAATGCCTCTATCTAACTGTGGTATTATTTGGAAGAAAGCATTCATGCATAGGTCATACTGGCAGCACAACTAGATCATGTGTTGTCCATTGGTGCTTTGGTCTTATTTTAAGTTGTCCAGCAATTTCAAGGGGTATTTGGTGTGATGTACCTGAGTGTAAGCCGATGTTAGGGGATACATCAGCCCTTATCTCACCATACTTAAGTATAGTATCACATAGGCGGATCCAGTGGGGGCTGCAGTTTATTATATGACTATTGAAACACTCATGAAAAAAAAGTGTGCACCCCACCCCCTTTCTCAAGAGAGTGACCCTTCTCAAAGAGCTGTATCCCCCCCCCCTTTATATTATTTGAGCTCTGGGGGATTTATCGGGAGGATAACTGTCTGTCAGGCAAGATCACAGCATGCTGGACACACTGTTACAACCATATTCACATTGTAGATCTAGTTTCTGATTACAAGGATGTGCTATGTCCTGACAGATTTCTGTAATTTTCCAAAACAGAAAAAATGGAACACAACTGCTACATGAAATTTATTATTATATTTTATCACACAGACAAACAGTTATACTGTTTCATTCAGTTGAAGACTCAGTGCAACGAGAATACAATCAAAGATTTAATCCGTGACAAATACATTATTTCACAGGGCACATTAACCCTTTGCACCGGCACACCTACTTTTATTCTCATTTGTAAAATAACTAAAACAGTTCGTCTGCGCTGGCAAATCGATATTTGCGAAAATGGTTTGTGTTCAACACAACAATTGAAATATGTATTCGGCCTAAGAAGGACGCCGTATTCACAAAGAACGATAGGTCAGTCTGACACGGCGAACAACAATCCCATGCAAATCACATGTCACAACCAGTGTCCCAAAATGCACATTGCTACTTACATTGAAATGCTTCATCGGAGTGCTTGCTCCCGTCCATAGCAATAACAACGGTTCTGTCTGCGTCTGCATCTGTACCAGCCATTTTAGAAATCTGTGAGTCAACTTTCTTCGAATGAAACTGCGAGCCGTCTGCCACACCGAGAATCTGTCCTCTGTCCTGGTGCTCCGAGCGTTCTCGAAAGCGAGGTCACTTGTGACTAAATTTAATGGGCACACCGCGTGTTACTGAATACGAAACCGGTGATCTATAACGAAGTAGTTGTGCTTATATGCATCTTACAAATTATTTCTGTACATTTTGTAGCAAATTTAAACTTCTCACCGACCAGTTGATATGCATCTAACAAACTTTTTTGTATATATTTTGTTAGTAACGTATAGGCAGGGAGACTATATAAGGAGTAGAGTACCCCTGGTATAGGCCTACTCATCATGCACGCACTCATCCCATGATGGATATCCAACAATTGCTTGTGTATATTTTGTCACAAATTTATATTTGTCACCGATAGTTGATATGCATCTGACAAACATTTTTTTCAGTAGATTTTCAAAGACCTACACTCGCCAGCGAAAATTTTATGGTCAAGTTCGTTTTCACCATCACCTCGATATAGCGCTCGTCACTGCGTAAGCTTTGTCTGAAATGATTAGTAAACTTGGCTGTCGTTCAGGAACATTAAAATACACCAGATATGTAGACCCACATAAACAGAAATTTTAAAAGTCGTCAAGATAAGATAAGACTGAGGCCGTGCATTTCGTCATTCGGGAAACTGAGTAGACTGAAGCGTTACACAGTAATATCGTGATATGACATTGTCGTAAACATCATTACGTTACAACTAAAATAATCAAATATATATGATTCAGATGGATACAAAGAATTGTACTTTATTGAAAAGCAGACATAATGAGGCGGGAGACTCACAACCAGCGGGGGCGGTGGGGTAGCCTAGTGGTTAAAGCGTTGGCTCGTCACGCCGAAGACCCGGGTTCGATTCCCCACATGGGTACAATGTGTTAAGCCCATTTCTGGTGTCCCCCGCCGTGATATTGCTGGAATATTGCTAAAAGCGGCGTAAAACCAAACTCAGTCAGTCAGTCAGTCACAACCAGCGGAATTAAAATGTAGAATTTGGGTATTACAGAAGGTCTGGATGGAGAGGAGAATTATATATGGTTCGGGGACTGTTTCGTGAGATACACAAGAAATTAAGTTATTGGTTCGAATCAAACATTCATCTTCGCTATGTTTCTATAGATTTGTTTGCACCAAAAGTGGTAAACACGTAAAACCTGCACAACTTCCGCTTTCTACTGCTAATTAGCACCACAACAATCCAGCTTTAGGACCACGTGGCATATACTTTATCCTACATATACAGTTTAGATCTCCGTATTCTGCTTGATCCATTTCTTTTAGTTTCCAGGGAACCACATGCGAAACCTACATCTTCCTTATCGTAATTTGGTAAAACATGACGAATAGAGAGAGTTCAGATACGGTCATTTCCAAAATTTTCAACTTTTACTTTGTATCGCCCAAGAGAGCACTATATTTTGTTTGTTTGTTCGCCGCATACAGCATTATCCTAACTACTTGACGGCGTCTGCAACACATGGGGTCTGGACCACACAATCCAGTGATTGATATAATGAGCTTCGATGTACGCAATTTTGATACGATGACATGTATTAACCTATTAGGAACCCAACGCGAATACAGAAGGCTCACGTTTCAGGATTTTCGTAACTAGTGAATACATTTTTCCGAGATAAGGGAGTTAACTGACTGTAAATGTTCAGTTTCCACCTAAGCGGAACAAGGCTGGAATTTTGCTCGGAATTTTGGCTCGGTCGTAGCGCCACCATGCAGTGGCTATTACGAGTTCTGTCCCTTCAATATGTCCCTCACCGACATTTGCTTCAAACAAAATGGCGGGTGGCGCCCTGTCAAGAATAGCTGATGCATAATTTTGATCTCCATTACAATAGAAGTGGTCTTATCTCGTGGAGTGTTTCAGATAACTTACACTTTAATTAAAAGCATGAAATGTTATTGAAAATATCTGTCGATTCCCAGTTGACAGTTAACATGCTGTGCAAACCCTGCAATCTACCTAAACCCGCACGGCAGTCGCCATGTTGGGTTGACTCGATGACTCCATAATTCCAGCCAAGGGTGGAAACTAGATTTTCAGAGCCATTTAAATCCCTTCACTAGGGAAGATGCTAGAAGGCAGCAGGTAACAGCAGTCCTTTTAACGCCAATATTCCTGCACTATAACGGCTGAGTGTAAATATTCGTGTCTTCCCTGGGTCTCTCATCTGCCTCAGAGCACGTACACGTCCCGCAGGCTATCGACACGGTATGGATGCACGCCGTAGATAATGCACTACCTTTATGGTTGTGCATAACCGGTGTAACGGTTGTTTTGAACACCTGAGAGATATGGTACGGATAAATAGGAACCTTTGTGTCAAGTGTGCACTTTATGAGAGGAATATATTGAACATTTGATGATGTAAGTGTATTTACATATAAGAATCACTTAAGGGAATGAGGAGCGTAGGGTGAAGTTTTTGAAGTGTTCGAATTCTCGCCAAAGACCTGGGTTCGAATCCCCTAATGCTTCTAACGACTGCCCCTTGTCGTGATGATGATGGATTGAGAAAATAGCCCTTAGACACACACATGAAATATTATATTTATTTCACCTGTTTCCTGAGTACATTAGTATGCGATCGACGCGATGAGCGGTGGTTTTCTCGTCGAAGAGCAGGTTTCGACTCCCCAATATGCATACAATATATATGTAAAGTCACTATGTATACAGTCCCAATCTCCTTGTATGGCTGGAACTAACGTAAGTAGCGTTTACCAAAAGCCTTCATTGTCCAATCTAGCGTAACGAGAGCGAAAATGAATGCTTGTTAAACCGCAGAAATTATGGCTCAGATTCAGATTCTTTATTTACATTTATCTTTACAGACAATCGGTAGTACAATCAAACGCGAAAATTGGTACAGGTGGATGACTAGACATTGATTGTAATGGAGAATGTACAGAAAATTACCTATTATTTAGCAATCATTTCATTTCTGAGACAACAGGCTTTTTACAACTATTTACCTAAATTACATAACTGTTTTACATTTCTAACACTTAAAAGTTGAATAAGTTTATGCATTGATGGACATCTGTAGTAATATGGTTTTATATATAATTTTCTATAGTTATTATATTGCAGTGTACAATTATTAATAATATTTCTATAAATTACACATTTTGATGAATTAGATAAATTACAAAAAATCTCTTGAGACACCTGATCAAAGAATCGACAACAGGTATATCCATGCAGGACATATCTCTAAGCCATAATTCTTTGACACCACAATGCTAGATAAAATATCGTCACCTGATACCCCAGTTATTAACACCACGGGTCTCCACTTCCTCATGTAAACATTCATAACAATTTCGAAGAATAAGATTATTTGTGTGAAGCAACTTGCACCAATACTTTATTATATTAAACTGTCTCTGATATATGAGAGGAAAACGACCTAATTCTGCTTAAACCATAGAATTTACAGAATTATATGTACATTTTTTAACTCCTAACAATCTTTTACAAAAATATAAGTGTAATCTTTCTATATTAACTGCATTATGGAAACCCCAGACCTCCGACATAATTCTGCATAAACCATAGAATTACATGTACATTTTTACAAAAATCTAAGGTTAATCTTTCTACTTTAACTGCTTTATGGAAACCACCATGCATATCTTAATATACTGCCAACATAACAATCGAAAACCAACACAAGAGATTCAGGATTAAGAGAGAGTGACCTTACATTATTATAGAGTGAACATAGGGCCTTTCTACCTTGATCTGCAAGCTGGATCTGAGCGATTGTAAATTTATTATTATAATTAAAAACAACTCCCAAATATGTAAAACTTCATTTACATAATTATTGTAGCTCCAGTTTTCTGTTAATCTACGTTTACCACCTTTTCTAAAACGACTCTTCATTAACCTCAGTTGTAAAGGATGTTGAAAATGTATGATTTCTGTTTGATAACAGAAACTGCCTGTCCCTGGAACGAGTTACTTAAGTCGGAAGAAAGTGAAACGAGCAAGCTGGAGTGAGCGAGTTTGGTTTAACGCCGCTCCGTGAAGAGTACCAACATGGGGAGGTCTATATTATCTGTCGTTCCATTATGATATACTGAGGACAACTGAACCAACTAAACATTGGAGGAAAGTCGGACAGCAAAGTATCATCAGTTAACATTGTTAGGAGACGCGGAACAAGAATGTCATGACATGCGTTGTGTAACCCAGATTAACTGACGTATTTTGTGTGTGTGTCCTCAACCGGTGGACAAAAACTTGAAGTGCACATTTATCCTACCACGGATAATATGTGCTGTCGTTTTCAATACACACAGTCGTGCCTCAAACTGTTACAGTACAAGGTCACCAAAGCCACGAATTCCTACAAATATCACCCACCCTCCCCCCTCCCGGCCCTCCGGTGGTACATGTTCATATGCATATGGCCGATAGCACAGCTACATGTGGTTGTGCATATAGATCCTGTATCACTTGAAATTAACCTGTTTTCAGTCTTCCATGGCGTGTCGCTGTGGCCTTATACCCAAGTTATGAGATACCCTAGTTGTTAGCCAGAGTTGTTAGCCTAGTTGTCGCGTCAGATAACCTTTGAGCGACCTATGACCGTCCAATCAAACGCGAGACGGCCGAACGGAATTAACCAATCAGACAACGGCTACTATTTAGGGTTTGGCGGGACTTACAAAATGGATTTTCTCTTCCCCGGTCGCCAACACTGATCTCATAACAAATGAAAACCCGCATAGAACGCAGATATATGACCTGCAGAATATACGCTTTTGGGTTTCTGTTGACATGGCTACCATTAGCTAATATTTCCGAAAGCTGACATCCTTGAATACTGACAAAACGCTATTTTCAGCGACTGTTTGCTCGCTCTTGTGGCGTGCTCCATGTGCATCACTCGGTAGCTATCGTACGGAAAATAGCATTTGCAATCGTTTGGGTACAAAACGTTTTCGAGGTAAAAGTTCAAAAGGTATGTGCGAATGTCAACTTTCGCGATTTGGTAAGCTGTGTTCTGATTGGTCCATTGAAAAGGTCAGCTGACGCGACCTTCCACAAGGTTTTGTTAGACTCAATATAGCAGTGTAACGTAAAATACTGAGCCTAAGTTTACTTAGACTGCGTAAAACTAAACGCTTTACCCACTAAACTACCCCGCCGCCCGTTTTGGCTTGGACCGCTGAGAATATTACGATGTGGGGTGTACGTGTAAGTAAGCAGTCTGCGAAACCAAAGTACCGGCTTCAGACAGTAGACTATAAACCATAGTCAACAGTACTAGTGATGTCGTTGTGTGTATGCATACATATGCATGTGTCTAGCGGTGGGTGGTGGGTAGGGTATTGAGTGTTACTACACACTGAGGGAAAATATATAGTTTACGTTTTCAAAAAGGAAATCTTTCATCACTATTCAACAGTGGCTTTTGTAAGACAGTTATTTGATAAATATCAATTCAGTTTTACTTGCAATAACATGTATTTTCCTGTTTGGATGGCGTCAAAACAGAATCGAACGAAATACCACTTCCGGAGAGATTTTTATATGTTCTCAACAACTGAAGCAATGATGCACAGAAACGTTGAATTTTAAAAATTTATTCATTGAAATGTGTATACGTGAACAAAAACATAGATAAAATACTGATACAATCCATATTGCACTCATTCAAGCCCGATAGACCAGGTGATAAAATGGTAATAAAACAACAACGTGGTGTAAATACGATATGAGCATTTGTATATAATATTATACGTAGCGTGAACCTCCAGAGCACTGGGTTGCTAGACAACGGCTTCTAAGCGTGGACGTACTGTAACCATGGCGGTATTGGCAATTGTCAAGATAATGCTATTTCGATGGTTGATATACACGTACCGCATGGTGGTACTGGCTGAATGGCAATGGGCATTAAACAGTCTGAGAACAACGTCAATACTGATGCTGGCATGATGTCGTGATAGACCATTGAATTTGATAACAATGGCTAGAGAATCTTTACTCGGTAACCATGATCCTTTGAATATTAGATCGCTCAAATCGACAGAAGCCAACGCTGTAGCTATTGAATGGTAACGTGTCTTTAAGGATAAGAAATGAAAGCGAAAAACACAAAACAGTTATAGAAAAATTAAGTATAAGAAAAATATTGTGTAAGACGTAAACAAACTTCTACAAAACACTTCATATACGGAACCGTTTCGGTTTGATATATACGTTTGGAAAACAGGTTGAGCACCACTGTTTATCCATTTGCAAAAGCCATTTTCTGAAAGAGTATTCTATGTGCATAACCCTTTTCCGGGTGTACTTTATACTATATACGTATGTACGTTCGTCAGGCCGGAATAACATTCCGCTGAAGTCAATAGTACTGAGGGCTTAATGAGTGTAAGAAGGTGTACCCGTCCCTCTCTATCCAAATACTGAAGAGACAAGCACTGTGGATCCAGTAGTGCTTTTTTATCACTAAAAGATGGGCTATCCAGTTCTAGGGTGTAGAGCACATGTGTCGTGACACGACAATGGTTGGGGATGTTAGGAAATCTGAATAAAAACACTTGCTCATGATAAGGATTCGTAAAGCTGAAGGAAACCATCATGTCACTACGACTAGTACCTACAACAAAGTTTACAAACAATACACACGAACAAAAAACACTAGTGCCTGGTTCCATTTACGTCATATTCGTTAAACTATCTCATTGGAGTGAGACTTTACTTTGATATACCACTCTAAAGAACGTTGCGTCATTTGATCACTCTGCTTACTTTGACCATCAGATCGAAGCGAAGAAAGGGCGAGTTTTGGAACCTATGGGACATAAGCATTCTAAAATCATTGACATGCAGATACTGACATACATATATATTCCCACCCGATGCTAAAGTTTCGATTTTAACAAAGAAATCCATCACAACACATGTATTTCCTCGATGTACAGTTAGGTTTCTTCAAAAAGGCGCTCAGAAACGACCTGGTGTATATAATATAACAACTGCATTTGTCATTTACATTCGTAACTGCCCTCTCAAAATCGTTTTAGAGGAAATGTTTCACTCACTTTCTCAGTGCCAAATGATTTACTAGAAAGCTCCCCTGACGCGACCTCCCATGGACTGCGAGAGGACTGACAAAGTTTCTATTGGCTTAACAAATCTACATTCTACGACAAAAAGCACCTTCGATATTCCAGTGCAATACTAGACTACTATGTCTCCATTCTGTTACTGGCTTACACTGGATAATCGAGGGGGACTACTGGAGGGACCAAGAGAACTGTTTAGGAAACTGATTGTGCAAGAACGCCCGAGGTGTACATTTCAATTCGATGTGCGTGCTTCGATGTTAGAAAACATTCAGTTGTCTCCCCGTCAGTTCTTCTTGTGGGAGGAGTGAAAGTCGTGTTTGGTATAGTGACCTTTGTGACGGCACACGACAACAGGCACATGAGAGTGGTGGACGATGTAGTCGCTGACGCTACCCATTAATGTTCGTCGGACGGTGCCCTGTCCGCGACACCCCGTCACGATGAACACTGCCTGCTCCTCCTCGGCAACCTTCACGATCGCTTGGCCGGGGAACCCCGTTTCACATCTGACCTTCCCACTAACCTGAAAACCAAGTCAAGTTAAGTACGATATGAAATATTTATAACATACATTGCTACATTTGAAATGGACGTCGAGATTCCTCAAATTATCTCCCATCACTGTTTATCTGGCTCATGGACTATGTTGCCAATCTGATGATCTCCACTGACAGCTCTGCCTGGCTTAAACCGCCAAGCGTCTGCCTGACACATATCTTTCTACAGCGTCAAAATCCTTCCCGTGTTTGTAAAAGAACCTTCTTGTTCATCTAAATGGAAAAGGACCAGATCGTATATTGGAACATTAAATTGTATAACACACTCAAAGGGACCTCTAATTGTAGTTCATTATAACCGTAGTTCCTTATACGCAAATCAACGATAATATACAGCAAGTGACTCGTGAAGATCCGGGTTAGAATATTGAACTTCAGTAACCCATGCTTGTAAGAGGCGACTAACGGGATCGGGTGGTCACGCTCGCTGACTTGGTTGACACATGTCATCGGTTCCCAATTGCGCAGATCGATGCTTATGCTGTTGATCACTGGATTGACTGTCCCAATCTCGATTATTTACAGACCGCCGCCATATAGTTGGAATATTGCTGAGTACGGCGTAAAACTAAACTCACTCAGTCACTACAGCAAGTGTCCGGGACGTAAATAACAAACTTCCTATCGATCCGCTATTTCGTTACTTAATCGTGTTGCTGAAAATGACTCATTTGAATCTTCTCCAGATAACCACTGCCCTCCCCGCCCAAGGCCAAGTCCCCCTCACCCCAGCGTCCTTGAGCCGCTGCCCCAGACTCTGCACGAGTTCCCTGGCCTTCTTTTGCTCTGCTCGGTACATGTCCATCACAACATTGCTGGTGGGATCCACATAGTCCGTATCTGGAAACAGGAAGCCTTGTGTAAACGTGCATTTACAATGTGCATACACACACGTGTGTTTATGTCTTGTGGAGAATCTAGAGTTAACTTGTCTCCAACCACAAGATACTGCATCTATCGACACCTCAAGCTGCACACTTTCAAAGTAATCTGTCATACAAACCCTGAAACAAATATATCCAAGAAAGCCTATGTGGCAAGTCTAGATTACCACAGTTTCTGAAAATGAAGACAGTCTCTGGGCTCCTTTGCATGATATTTTATGATTATAATTTAGGAACCGTTTTTTCTGTAAAATATATTCATTTCAGAGACTAGATGTTAGTCTAACTTGCAAAGTAATGTGGTCAAATTACTGGGACGGAGGGGAAGCCTATTGGTTAAAGCGTTCGCTCGCCACGCCGAAGACCCAAGTTAGATTCCCCACATGGCTGCAATGTGAGAAGTCCATTTCTGGTGTCCCGGTAGTGATATTGCTGGAATAGTGCTGAAAGCGGCGTAAAACTTACCTCACTCACTCACTAAGGCAGTCGCGACCTGCAAATATTCTTCATTCCGTTATGGACGTCAGATCAGTTTGTGGCAAGATCTTGCATCTAGGACTTCAGTCCTGCCCCACAACGAAGCACATGTGATACATGCGGTCTCACCTTAGGCAAGTGAATTTGTTCAAATTGCCGCTGTTCACCCAGCAGAAAATGGGTACCGGTGGGATAAAGTCATGTGACTATAATCATCCGGGGTAATAAGAATCAGATTCTGATTAAGCGCCGCGAGCAATCACTTGGTCTTTGGAAACGTGCGCTATAGAAGATGACTTATTATTATTTATCTGTCTCTTTGTTTTCAATGTGTAACTGTTCGACTGTCTATGTACAGACGTTCAAGACAAACAAGTGAATTAATTGAAACTTGGTATATACATCATGTAAATGTAGGTACTCAGAATATTCAGTGACCTGTCTCATCAGCAAGTTATTACACATGGCTCTGCCAACAAATCATACCCGACGAATAGGGGGCCTTGCTGACAGATCTGAGCGAGTTGGCGAGTCACTGGGTACATGGGTGTGTTACGGAGTTAGCTCTTTAGTCACTGTGAGTGAGTGAGGTACGCCTGTTTGTTGCTCAGTGAGCAATATTCCAGAATAACAGAATTCAAATGTTCAAACCGGACCAGTCAATCCAGTGATCCTCGACGCTCAGGTTTGTTTTTACGCCGTACTCCGCAATATCCCAGAATTATAATGGCGATCTGTGAATGAGCGTCCGTTCAGATAATCAAGTGATTGACAATATGAGAATCGATCTGTGCAAATGAGATACGACGAGACGCATCTATACCAAGTTATCGACTCTGACCACAAGATGCATCAAGTCAAGTAAGTTACTGTGCTGTGGAGCTGAATCCCAAGCGGGCAGCTGTAAACATTCTAGCTATAAGTCAGTTTACTGGCCAAGTCTGCGTTATATGGAAAAAAGTGTCAGTCATTACACGATGACTGTGACTCATTGAGATCCTGGTTTGTATAGGTCTTCAGCCCATGCTGATTGCAGGAGCCGACTAACGGGATCGGGTGGCCAGGCTCGCTATGGTATCCCAAATGCGTAGATTGATTCTCATGATGCCAGTCACTGGATTGTCCAGACCCGATTATTCATTCAGTCATTCAGCTGCATAATTGCTGAGCGCTGCACTAAAGAACTAACGAACAAATACTTGAATTCACACTTTTTCAACGTCCCAGAATACTACAAGCAACCTGCAGAAAGTTCAATACTATGAGGTTCTTAGTTTCTCCTAAACTGGACGAATTGAACTGGAACCACTTCTTTGGCACCCGATAAATAACAGAAGTTACTTCAACTACTGCTACTGAGTATAACTGCATACCTGATGATGAATCCTCCAGTTTGGTTTCGACCCGGCAGCTAATGTGAACCTGTCTATTAGAGCAAATGCGGTATTTCTATACATGTAAACATGTACTTACTTGAAGATGAAGACAAGGCGTTATGGAATTCAGGGGTGTGGACGAAAATCACGTAGTCCGTCTTCCGGTGAGCATTGTCCATATACCCTGCATAATAAAGTATTTTGGTTTGTTGTTCTATCAAAACATTTATCCGTCATTAAATTATCGTTTCCAGTGCACGTCCTCTTTGGAAATGAACGAGGAACGGGCTATGAAAATTGCTCACTTATTAATGTATGTGTGTGATAAAAGATTATTATTATGTTTAGTCAGGTGGAAATTGTTTCAAGCAAGAAGTGGTTTCCAGGAATAAACCAATTGTATGTTTTACGGAAGTGAGCTGAGGTGAATATACAGTTGAAATGTATCAAAGATGTATGGTTCTACGTGACTTTGTAATCGATTTTTTTAAAAGGTCGATCTCATAAAGCAGTACAGCTATCTTAGTCGCGTTACAGCTATGATAGTTGTAAAAATCAATTTGTCATGTGTTACACGACACGATGCCAGATTGGTGTGCATTCTCCCAAGAATCTGACAAGTGTTACACGACGCGACGTCAGATTGCTATATATTCTCCCAAGAGAATCTACGATGGAATCGTGTTATTGTGCATCGATCCAAGCACCGGTGTGATAGTACCGCTACGACAATTCGCGGGGATTCATCATTTTCAGAGGCGGTGGGGAAGCCTTGGTCAAAGCGTTCGCTCTTCACGCCGAAGACCCTGGTTCGACTCCCCACATGGGAACCCATTCTGGTGTCCCCCGCCGTGATATTGCTGGAATATTGCTAAAAGCGGCGGAAACTAAACTCACTCACAACACCCGTGAAGATCCGGGTTAGAATTGGTCTTCAAACAGTAACCCATGCTTCTCGTAAAAAGACGACTGAAGACGTCTTTCTCGCTGACTTGGTTGACACATGCCATTGTATCCCAGTTGAATAATTCGATGCTGATGCTGTTGATCACTGGATTGTCTGGTCCAGACTAGATTATTTACAGACCGCCGCCATATAGCTGGAATATTGCTGAGTGCGGCGTTAAACAAAAACAAACCAACATACTTAATCTCACTCACCATTGATTTAAAACAGTGGACTGAATCTCTAGTGTAAATTTTAATTTTGATACATTTATAATATATGTAGCCTGAATCTAATATTTCGTTTTTTTGGTAAAAGATAATAATGAACTATTCAAGAGTTCCCTATATCAATCAAAGGGCGTGCATACCATTCCATGCACGTCAACGCGCTTTCACAAATATCAAATATCATGGGATGGAGATTTTCTAATCACCGGTGAGGCGTCCTTCACCTCCCGAGCAAAACAATACTGAACGGCAAGTGTTTAGTGTATATTTTGACAGTGCAGTGCTTCTAGATTGACCTGTTTTAAAACTGACTGGCACCGAGAGCAGATGCATATACTGTGACATTTATAAATAACCATTAGGTATCCATCGTCTGATATTGATGGAATTCAAGAACTGAGCACGGAAACAAGCTTCCCAGTGACTGACGCAGAACTGATCGATACGTGAAATTATTAAAAAACATTCTAACTTACATTCGAACGCATACGCTGCGAAATGACTCCCATCCATAGCAATGACAACTGTTCTTTCGTGTGTAGCTTCTGCCATCTTCCCTGTCTTCGACGAAACAGAATTGTCTGTGAATATTGTGCCGTCAAAGAAATCGGCAGCGATCACTGCGCGAAATAGGTCAGGCTCAATGAAAGGGTCAGAGGTCACGCAGCTACCGTACTCTACCCAAAAATCGTTGCCGTTTACAGATAATTTTTGCTGATAGTCTGGAAACATATCTTTGATTCCATGGACTGTTTACACATAAACAAGGGTTATTATAGCAGAGGATGTTCATGCACACGTAATGATGAAAGTATTCTTAAACTTAATGGTGTTGTTGGTATGATAATGTTCAGGCTCACTGTTAAATCCAGTCATGCAATATCGACCTAATATACCTTCTTATAATGTGTGATGCCTCACGATTTTATCTGCTACTTCCAATGCTACACAATCTGCAACAGCCACCTCTGCTAAATCTAGGATAACTGTTTCTTTTCTTTTTGGTTTGGTTTGTTTTTCAATTCTATTCATAACCTTTGTTCTTTCTGATCGCTTTTAGTGGCCGTGCCCTGCCAGTGCATAATATTTCCAGGCTACCCTCATCAGATCAGTATAACTGAGTGCGGAAACGACCCCCACGCCACGCCAAAAACAACACTACTAAACAACAAACAAACAACAAAAATCACACTACTATCAAATGTCTACTATCACTACAATCACTATCTCTACTAGTAGGGGGGTAGCCTAGTAGTTAAAGCGTTCGCTCGTCAGGCTGAAGACCCGGGGTCGATTCCCCACGTGGGTACAATGTGTGAAGCCCATTTCTGGCGTCCCCCGACGTGACATTGCTGAAATATTGCTAAAAGCGGCATAAAGCTATACTCACTACTACTACTACTACTACTACTACTAATACTACTATTATTACAACTACTACTACTACCATCACCTATTCCACAACTACAACTACTGCTACTACTACTACTTTTTCCACTAACCTTCTACTACTACTACTACCAACACCTCTTCCACTACTGCTGCTACTACCGCTGCTACGTCACATCGTCAACTTCTTTAGCTGCTGTCCTGCTGCGCCTACAACAAAGTCCTCTGCTGTTAGTGCCACCACTAATGTCTGAGCTAAATTGTACAACGTCTGCGGTCGAGCTTTTCTTCATGCCAAACCCCAGTTAACTCAACAGTTATTTACGGTATTAATGCGAAAATATGAATATTTTATACCTGTACTCAACTCAAGCCACAGCGGCCGTACAACTGCCATGGGGATGTGTAAATTATTGGTATGTAACAGATGCAGGTCCCAATCGATCGGACAAATGGTCTTTTGTCATTTTGAGCTAATCGATATACTAATTAAACTAGTCGGAGCAATTGATACACATCAGCTGGGTGAGAAGGGATACTGAGAAAACAAGCGAGCGTCTGTAGTTATTTTTTTTGTACTAAAGTGTAATGGACACGCGCACATCCTTTGGTCCTCAAAATACAGACATGCAGATGGTTCTGTACATGTCGGGCTACGCTATTGTTAAACGCTCAGTCCCTCAATAAATATAATTTTGATAGTAACAAATATCCCCATTAGTTTGGGGAAGTCTAGACTTGCTTCATTTAGGGCTTTAGCAATGCAGGGAGGGCTGGGCAGTAGGGGAAATAATGTGGTTCGGGGACTGTGAGACAGACTAATGTCGGGACACTGCTGGGGGTCAACGAAGGTTCAAATGGTGTTTGCTGAATGCTAAATTAGACGCACTTAACGGCTTATCCATAGAATCTGATTCAGCCGTGGTCGTGGCTTTCTTTAGGGTTCAGTGAGTGTGTTAGCTTCTATGGTGTCGAGTTTTCAGTGGGCTGGCTTTTACCGCCGTTGGAGCAGTATTTAAATTTGATCATGTCGGTTTTAGGTGTGGGGCTTTACCATCAGTATATCAAGCAGTGAGTGAGTAAGTATAGATTTCAAAGGAGCAGGTCGAGATTTTCTTCATTTTCAGAAACTGTCGAAAAATGGGCATGTTTGTGAAGGGATGTAATTGTATTCAGGGTCTAAGTATTATCTAGACAAGCGCGAATTTATAGATCAAGTCGGGCATATTCTGGGGCTGGACCCTCGACTCTGCGGTGAGTGACTGAGTATGGTTTTACGCCGCTTGAAGCAATATTCCAGCATTATCCCGGCGGGGACACCAGAAATGGGCTTCACACATTGTACCCATGTGGGGAATCGAACCCGGGTCTTCAGCGTGACGAGCGAACGCTTTACCACTGCACTATCCTACCGTCCCCAGTATGTTATCAGCACGGAGACCAGGGGGCGGTGGGCGTAGCCTAGTACTTAAAGCGTCCGCCCGTCACGCCGAAGACCCGGGTTCGATTCCCCACATGCGTACAATGTGTGAAGCCCATTTCTGGTGTCCCCTGCCATGATATTGCTGGAAGCGAACTGGGCCCTGTTTCACAAAGCGATCTTAGCGCTACGACTGTCGTAACTCTATGTTACAGTATAGGAAATGGGATAGTCGCAGCGCTATGATCGCTTTGTGAGACAGGGCCCAGTTCGCTACCGTCACCAACAACACAACATCTCGTGGCACTAGCGAAGGAAAAAAATGACAAAAGTCACGAAATAACGTTTTATTTTACAAATGGATGAGTATCAAAGGATTTGAATAATTTCCAATGGTATTTTGTTGCTACTGCTTCACAAATATGTTATTTTATTCGTCACTATATCTCCATTTACACATTCTAAATATGATTCAGTTAAAGAAATATATACCGACGGTATATTACATAGGTATATTTCAAACAATATGAACCAATAAAACTCTGATTTGGTACAAGTAGAAAATTGATTATACTGACGGAAAGAAATAAAGGAACACTCTATGTCGGGGTATCGATGTTATGGTAAGGTAGTGTACCTAACTGTTTCACTATCAAAGGGGGCCAATAGAAATTAATTTCACTCTCGTCCTGCCGAAAACCCAATTTCTAGTGTCCCCCGCTGTGATATTGCTGGAACACTGCTAAAGGTAGCGTTAAACAATACTTAGTGCAGTCCGTTTGTCTTCCACGACAAAGATTTGTCTGTCTTAAAGGAGGTTATTTCACGCCCAAGAGCCCGTACAAGCCGAGGTATAGACATTCCTACTATTCTTAATGGTAATTATAATATATAATATGTACAATACAATATTCCTTGGCAGAGAGTAATATGAACGACTATTAAAGCCGATAAGAATCAGCGCACCTGGTAGTCCTAGCACGTTTGACTCGGTGCGTCCAAACTCCACACTGTCTGCAGACTCATGTGTTATCGATCCAGCAGTTAATGGAAGGACGCACAAAGAATAACACTGGCAGGAACCAGTGCCCTGATGCACAAAGCGAACTAAGCGCTGCGAGTGTATTAAGTTTATGTTAAAGTATGGCAGTTTGTGGAGCACTGCGAGTGTACTAAGCCTATGTTAAAGTATGGCAGTTTGTGGAGCACTGCGAGTGTACTAAGCCTATGTTAAAGTATGGCAGTTTGTGGAGCACTGCGAGTGTACTAAGCCTATGTTAAAGTACGGCAGTTTGTGGAGCACTGCGAGTGTACTAAGCCTATGTTAAAGTACGGCAGTTTGTGGAGCACTGCGAATGTACTAAGCCTATGTTCAAGTATGGCAGTTTGTGGAGCACGGTCTTTATAAGTGTTATTCCCAGACATTATACACTGACTAGTTCACTAAAAGACGCAAAAATTGTCTTGACAGTCTTAAGAACATCAAACCACAGATACGAAATCGCTTGATTGCTTGTTGGTAACCATGGAACAGGTCCACTATCCGGGTATCCTTGTCTCCAGTGAGTAGTACCAGCAGGTGCTCGGTGGGAGGAGAGTGCTTGATCTAGTGTTCATGACCATGTCCCTTCCGGCGACACACAAGCACGGGGACGTGGCTGTGATGTACGATGAAGTCGCTGACGCTGCCCATGAGGGTGCGGCGAATGGTGCCGTTTCCCCGGGTGCCTGTTATGATGAGACTTGCGCCCTCTTCCTCGGCAACCTGCACCACCACCTCTCCTGGTTGACCACCCACGCTCTTTACTTTGCCGCCAATCTGAAAAGGAGAAAACTCTGTCTCTATGTCTGGTTACTATAGTAGCCTGATATCGTACGAATAATTATTGGTGATCAAATCAGGAAGTGTTGCAGCTATCTGAGAGTCACGACCTCTATCGGGTGGGGTTAAGTGGAGTCGTTGTCCATGCCATTTTAATTTGACTGGTCCAGCCTCTACTATGCGTAGACCGCCCTGATAATGCTGGGATATACGCTGACGCACAAAAGAAACCTGGTGTTTCGGGACTATTTCTGAAAAAGGCAAAGTAAAAATTTTGAATAAAAATTGTTTGTGATTTCACAGGTCACACATTTTGTGTACATGCCGCCAAAACACCACAGATATCGTACGCAATCGCGACGTGGACGTTTCGCCTCACGTTCCTCAAATTGAAAACTGATTTTAGGAAAATAATACGAGGGCACTTTCCTTTGAACGTCAGTGTACAAATTGTAATTGTTAAATGGCAAGGAATGAGAGAGAGGGGCATGAGCAAACTCGCGACTGAGATACACTCTTGTTCGACTAAATTAATATTTTGTGGAGTTTGGTATTAAAAAAACAGGCAGCAAGCAAACATACCTCAGAATGTATCTTCGTAATGAAGTGATGCCATTCTGGGTCTTATGTTGCATCAAGAAACAAAACAAACAAACCAACACCCATGAGTTACGACATACGCTATAACATTGTGATGACGAATTTTTTTACCCCAGCGCTCCTGAGTTTCTCCCCGAAGTCATTGAGCAGCGCCTTGATCTTCCTTTCCTCCTCCGCGATGATCTCTGAGACTGCCGTGGCGTCGGCTAACACCATCGCTGCCAGCGTTAACAAACAACACACGTGTTCAGGTGAATGAGGGGTAATTTTGCTTTCAAATGTATATTGTTATAGAGCAAATTACGGTTATAACGAACTCAAAAGGACCACTTATTTTAATTCGTTATAACCGAAGTTTCTTGTACGCATTTCGACTAAAATATACAGCAAGCGGCCGGGACAACAAGCCAGTTCGTTATATCCGTCAGTTCCTTATAAGCAGGGGCAGTGGGGTAGCCTAGTGGTTAAAGCGTTCGCTCATCACGCCGAAGGCCCAGGTTCGATTCCCCACATGGGCGCAATGTGTGAAGCCCATTCCTGGTGTCCCCCGCTGTGATATTGCTGAAATATTGCTAAAAGCGGCGTAAAACCATACTCACTCACTCACTCGTTATAAACGTGTTCGTCATACAAATAGTTTACTATACTACTACTACCCCTCAAACGTTTAGGACCGCCTCTGTGGTGTAGTGGTAAGAGCGTCCGCCCGGAGAGCGGAAGGTCGCGGGTTCGATCCCCGACCGCGTCATACCAAAAGACGTTAAAATATGGTACTTGTTGGTCCCTGTCTGGCGCTCGGCATTAATGGGTACAACAAGGACTGGTCGGCTCGGAGTCAGTATAATGTGTCTGAGTGGGGTATTCATGCTTCACTGCGGCATGGTATCTCAGTGGGCTAGCACTATAAAACCAGCTTTAGTCTGGGCTAGTACAAGCAGCCGCACATACACATACACACGCATGCACGTCGTCATATGAGCGAAATATTCTCAAGCACGACGTTAAACCCAATTTCACCTCACCTCAAAAGTTTACACTCACTTAAAGCACTCACTATATGGTTACATCAAAGATTGACTTCTCCACTAACTTGGAAGAACCAACTGCAAACCTTATGCAGATGAATTGCACGAGGATCATGCATCAAATTGCTGAAGAGCATGTGCAAATATCGTGCATGTGAACAGCTGCGTTTTGGTGTAAAGTTTGGTTAAGAATTTGACAATTGTCACTGATTTGTATCATTTATTGAACTCATGTGACAATAATCTTTTCAACGTTATGAATTTGTTTTACAATAAATCAGTTCATGTGTAAACAGTACCTTTAAACAGTATGGAATATTTTGCAAAATTTAATTTAGAACAGTTGCCTGAAGTAAGCGGCTATATTTACACTAGTGAGTCTAAACCTTTGATGGGAAGTATATATAGCTGCTTGTAACTGTCCAGGCTCACGTCGATTTTACCGTGCTTGTCCACTCATATATCTTAACATGGATAACTCGCACAGACAACTATAACTATTCTCAGCCAACCAGTCCTTGTTTTATTCCCTTAATGCGCCAGGGATGGTAATAACAAATACTATCTCTTAACTACCCGTGAAGATCCGGGTTCGAATTGGGCTTCAGTAACCCAAGCTTGTCGTAAGAGGCGACTGACGGGATCGGGTGGTCTGTCTCGCTGATTGGTTTGACACATGTCATCGTATTCCAACAGCATAGATCGATGCTCATGCTATTGATCACTGGATTGTCTGTTCCAGACTCGATCATTTACAGATTGCAGCCATTTAGCTGAATTATTGCTTGGTAACAAACATACATACAAATCATAACAAGCTGACTCAGCTGTATCGGCATGGGTTGCTGATGACCAGGCCTAACCGCAGCTGGTTATGAATACAAATTTCAAATTTACCCCGATTGTGATCCCTGATATATGAGTACATCACGCCCATTTTTAAACGGCCACAGCACGTTTATGCGTTATTCTTGGACATCTCCGGAACTCAGATATAACTAAGTCTTACATGATCACGATAATGGCTTTGCCCGACCCACTTGAATTAAGTATGCTAGTCACATAGTTCTCTTGTATTATGTACACATGGTGCTCACTAAATTATGAGTAATCATGTCTTGTGACGTGGAGACAGTATATAACTATTCACGTTGCAAATATTCCACTGACGTCCATGTGTGTGACCTTCCTATGACATTGTGTCGTTAAGACCTATTGTGTCAGAGTGTTATATAACTAATAGTTAGGAGAACGGCCCCAGGAGGTCTTGTGTAACTGCTCTGACGAATTGCCTTCCTAAGTTAATAGATATACAGATTCAAAGGCTGTGTAAGTGAATGTGTGTGTATGTGATTAAGTTGTGACCGCGCCCGTGTATGTGTGCGTGTGTGAGAGTGAGAGGGTGTGCGTGTTCTTTTCTAGGGACCCTCGGGTTAGAATATTGATCTTCAGTAACCCATGCTTGTCGTAAGAGGCGACTGACGGGATCGGGTGGTCAGGCTCGCTGACTTGGTTGACACATGTGATCGGTTCCCGAATTCGCAGATCGATGCTCATGCTGTTTATCACTGGATTGTCTGGTCCAGACTCGATTATTTACAGACCGCCGCCATATAGCTGGAATATTGCTGAGTGCGGCGTAAAACTAAACTCACTCACTCACTCTTTTCGGCATACGAATTATATTGACATACAAAATATAAATAAAAGAGACAAAACCCTTTCCACATGCATGACTCTGCTATAAACAGAATTTATTGTACGGTTCCGACTATATCATGTCTTTATGAATGACTGTCAAACCAACAATTGAATATCTGACACAATGTCTCGCACGTAGCGTCCGGATTGTTAATATGAATACTCACGTGCTTGCATGACTGCATGGTACTCCGGACAGTGGACAATGATCACGTGATCATGGGCCTTATGGATGTTCTTCAAATACCCTGAAATCAGACATACAATGGTTTATGTTAATGTTTTAAAGTGTAGTAGCCATTTTCTGTCGTTGTTGTGAAACGAAGACATTGTACTTTTGTAGTCTTCGGCTATAGTTAACTGCTTTGTCGAGTAGTAGAGGCTGTGAGGGTAGCCTAGGGGTTAAAGCGTCCGCCCGTCACGCCAAAGACCCGGGTTCGATTCCCCACATAGGTGCAATGTATGAAGCCCATTTCTTGTGTCCCCCGCCACGATATTGCTGGAATATTGTCAAAAGCTGCGTAAAACCATACTCACTCCCAATAGTGTAGTGCAGAATATACGGGCTGCCAGACAGTCCCTATGTTTTGATCGTCTTGTAATTGACTATTCCCCCTTTGATCCGATTAGGAAATATTTTCAATTATTCACAATTACATACTGTATTAGCACTGACATCTTTTCAGTGAATCGATGGCTTTAATAAGTAAAGAATGATACAATATTTATATCGTAATGAGAAAACTACTTTAAAATTGTGTGTCTGTTTTTGATAAGCACCCAGATCGTGTACAAGCGAGGACGTCGACAGCAATTCAATGTACACACATGAAAGTCAGATCCAGTTAGAAGGTCAATGATATTTCTCTATCGATATTATAATTCCACTTGACATTCAGCATAATAGATGTACAGACTTTACAGTACAGTGATTTGCGGGAGTGGGTGCATTCGGTTTTACTCCGTTTTGCAAAGTAATGTCAGCATGTCTGCTCAATGTGTCACGAATCATAAGCGTTTACCTCATTGATGAAAACCACGAGCAATGGCATTGGTGCTGACAAACCAGCGGAATCGAACCGACGATCGTAAGTTTCGGGCATGGCGACTCTGTACAACGGTTTGCCCCAATTTTAAACAGCAGGGCCACTCAATCCCCGCAAGCCTACGTAACAAGCAATGATAAGGTACACAGTTTGGTGATTTATATCCCATGTTGATCTTGAAACGGCCCCACATTACGCAAAGATCTGAAGACAGGTATATTTTAATAATATTTTACCAAAAGCATATAACGCTCTCTCGGTGGACCAATATTCAAAGTGTAATACTGCAAGCTACGGTTAAACGGACTCCATGAGACAACTAAATGCAGTTCGATATAATCGTGTTTAGGTATACGCATTTCGACTAAAATATATGAATGTAGTTTACGGTATTTATACTCCTACGACAACTACTACAACTGCTGCTACTACTACTACTACTACTACTACTACTACTACTACTACTACTACTACTACTGCTGCTGCTTCTGCTACTGCTATACTGCTTCTACTACTACTATTGCTGCTTCTACTACTACTACAATTACTACTACGACTGCGACTACTACTACAACAACTAATACTACTACTACTGGGGCGTCCGCTCGTCACGCTGAAGACCCGGGTTCCATTCCCCCATGGGTACAATATGTGAACCAAGCCATCTTCTAGTGTTCCCCGCCGTGATATTGCTGGTATATTGTTAAAAGCGGCGTAAAACTAAACTCACTCACTCACTACTCCTGCTGCTGCTACTACTACTACTTGTATCTGTTGCTTTAGGACACGATTACTCCACAGTCTGTCTGAGTTTGACATAACCGCATGTTCTCCGGGTGTGTCAATATCACCTCTACAAGCACTACTTGCGTTGTGTACTCCTAGCTATAAAAGGCTTCACCTTTACAAGGTTGTCTTGAGAGTCCACTTGTTGACAAGGCTGTAATTCATATTCAATCGCAGTGTGAATGTTTACCTTTGTTAATGTCACTTGTATCTGAAGTCTAGGGCCGCTAAGATAACGTTTTATCTGTTTATACGTACATATGCAGAGACAAGTACATGTATGCCTGTTTCGTTTGAACATGACCTGGTTTTCGACTTGAGTTCTACTCACGTCCTTTCACTTGTGCTTGCGTGTGATATATACAGGTACTATCATATGGCTTTTGAGTAAACGCCCGAGGTTTCGCATTGTGGGTTAGAATATGTCTAAATTAGCCTCATTAACAGTCAACGTTATAGAATGAGTGAGTGAGTGAGTATGGTTTTGCCGCTTTTATCAATATTCCAGCAATATCACGGCGGGGGAATACCAGAAATGGGATTCACACATTAAACCCATGTGGGGAATCGAACCCGGGCCCTCGGCGTGACGAGCAAACACTTTAACCACTAGGCTCCCCCACCGCCCCCGTTACAGAATGACAAAGCTCAGTTATCTGTCGTGAAAGGGAATATAGTATCGATAATACAATGACAGATAACTGAAAATCATTGACACTGGATGCACGAAAAGTGAGTGAGCAGGTCCTGCCCTGCTGGTAGAATCCAAGCACTCACGTTAAGGTAAATGAAGACTTGCACAAGTCTCTAAGGTAATAATTAATAGTTTAAATGAAAATTTCATTTTTTTATTAATAACAGACTGGCTTCCTTAGTACTGTCTGCTTATCTAGACTTGCCTCTTTAAAGGATAAAATTATTTTCCATCCATGGGCTTAGCATTCAGTAGAGCCTTGGAGCAAGGCTAGGATAAATCTAGGATACTTAAAAGGTCCTCGACATATACTATTATTGCGTTTAAAAACCGGGTCATATTTGCACTTGGAACATCGAAAATAGGCTTAACACTCACATATTTCAAGCTAGCTATATATGCATTTGGAGCTAAACCTCTACAAACGGACTGGTTCGATCTGATCATCAGCTGATGATATATCAAATTGTCTGTCACATATGTTATCTATGTATTTAACAAATGTTACGAAATGCACAATAAGCGAGAACAGTCGATGAAAACAATAAAATCGCATGTTCGCTTGTTTTTCACTCAGTCTGCCTGGTACATGGATTGGGTGGGTTGTGTTACAGGTGTTCACTCCAACGCACATGTTGCAATAATATACTGTTACATCCTTCCTGCATCCCAATACAAGCTTGTATAGACGCACATATATACATTTCATTACTTACAGTCAAATGCGTACATGGAATGGTCGCTTCCATCCATTGCGAGGACGACATTCCGTTGCGAAGCCATGCTGGTTTTAACAAGAAACTACAAAATTTCTCAGAGGGCTGAGACACGAGGTCAGAGGTTACAGGTCAGAGGTTACAGGTCACTGAGAGATCAGCCTTCAATTCAGCCCCCAAGGCGGTATAGATAGGCGACTTGAGCTTGTCACTGGCCATCTGTTCGGGACCTCTGTTCGTGGTCTGGGTGATATTATGTAATACCGTGATGTTGAACTTATCATCTGCATCCTCGGAATGTAAATCACCAAGCGTGTTTACAGCTATTAGAGACATGGAGAGATTCGTGTCGTAATCACAATTATTTTGCGTTACTGGATCACATATAATTAATAATAATTTTGCTATTATATATACAACTTCAAACAAATATAGAAATTTTTTTAGATTGTCCTTGGCCATTATACACATTTGTATCAGTATATGTATTGTTACTCTGACTCATTATATATCTTGTTTATGTAGTTTATAGAATATTGTTCCTGTTTCTACACGGAACGTTTGCACAATAAAATATCTTGTTTCTTAACTTGTATCTTGTATCCAAGAAAGCCCATGCAAGTCTAGAATAAGTGGCAAGCCTAGATTTCCACAGTTTCAGGAAAATGAAGAAAGTCTCCAGGTTCCTTTTCATTATATTTTATGATTATCTTTTATGAACAGTATCTTTCTGTAAAATATGTTCATTTTAGATACTAGATGTTAGTCAAGAGCAGTGTTTAAATATGATCATGGCGGTTTTAGATGTGAGGTGTGGGTATTGCCACTGTTTCTACATGGAACGTTCGCGCAATAAATATCTTTTATCTTATATCCTGTACAAGCTTATTACACATATCAAAGGGTTATATCTGCTCAGATACGTACGGATCCGCTTTAACTATACGTCATCTGCTTTTATATAATTCTTCCATTTTAGTCTCAAAGTCCTGAACCATATTCATTTTCCTTCCTCCCTACCATTTCTGCAATGCAAAAACCCCAAACTAACCAAACCGGCTCACTGGAACGCCTTTTCTGTTCAAAAAGTTAAGTTAAGTGATATTGTAGAAATAGTCGTACAGCTTTTTCTCCAACTACTCACCTTTGAACATAGCCAATATAGTAAGATTACCGCGCCGAAACAGATTTATTTGAGCGTTAATTGCAAAATATTTGTGAAAATTGTGAACCGATCACTGAAAACCATTGTTGACATTGGGTGTTAAAATAGAGAAAATTTGGGCTTACTGTCTTTGTGGCATAATAAATTCAACAATTCTTATAAAAGGACACATTCGAATAAAACCATGATTTCGCTTGAACACAAAATTCATCGACATTACCGGATTTAATTTTCAGCTGGTTCATCGTTTTGTCTCGAGGTGAAAATACCTAAGGCGGGATGGATATCAAGTGCTATTGCATATCAGATGTTCCCGGGGAAATCAAAGGGGGTAAATGATAACTCCCGCGCCTCCCCGTCCCCTATGAGCAAGAATACGTGAATTGAGATTAGATGGGGGTATTAAGTATGGTCACATTGATGACAGGGTCCCCGATGCTGAAATGTGATATCTTGTTGACTGAGGACAAAGTGAAAGGGAGGCGTGTGTACCTTGGAGAAACGTTTGCCTCCTACAGACCCTACAGAATAAATTAAAATAGAAGTCCAGCTGAAGTCTAGAATGACTGGGCAAGTCCAGATTGCCTCAGCTCCTGAAGTTAGAATAGTATTTGGCCCCCTTTGCATTTAATTTAGTTATTTTTGTTGCAGATGTATATTTTTAAATATAGTAACTATATTCTGAGCCTAAATATGAGGAGAACTGTGTTACAAGTATTGCACAGCTGGTGGACACGATGAACACGAGGGGATGAATAGGTGATAGTAAGTGGAAGTCGTGTCAGCGCAAAGAGCACCACCTCCTCCTCCGTCGTCGTCGTCGTCATCATCATCATCATCATCATCATCATCGTGGCAATTACTTGTATCTACTGCGTGGCGATATATTAGCATTATCCTCATCAGATATAATAGAGATGTCATTGTCATTGTAATATCAGATACCTTCACAGAATATGTAAAAATAATTACGCTGTTCAGTCTAGGGTGTTGGCTAGCCAAGTTATTAAAGCGTTTGTTCGTCACGCCGAAGAACCGGGATCGATTTTCCGCATGGGTACTATGTGTGAAGCCTATTTTGGGGTCCTCCGCAGAAATGTTTCTTTCATATTGCTAAAAGCCGCTCACTCACTCACTGTCCAGTCTATTGCCAATTCGCTGCAAACACAGTACATCATGACAAACAGTTATTGCCATCATGATATAACATTGATTTTCAAACTCAGGAATTTCAGAGGCCATCGTTCCATACATATCTGAATATAGATGAAAGTGTCCATAGCGAGGCCATGCATAGTTCCGACCGATCGCCCGTCAACTAATCAGATCGCGTCTTTCCGTCACCGCGGGATAGCGTCGTCATGACGAGCGAACGCTTTGACCACCATGTTTCGCCATCGCCTATCCAAAATGTGCGGACCCGTAAAGATCCGGATTAGAATTGATCTTCAGTAACCCATGCTTGTCCTAAGAGGCGATTAAAGGGATCGGGTGGTCAGGCTCGCTGACTTGGTTGACACATGTCATCGTATCCCAATTACGTAGATCCATGCTCGTGCTGTTGATCACTGGATTGTCTGGTCCAGACTCGATTATTTACAGACCGCCGCCATATACATTTGTATCTGGAATATTGCTGAGTGCGGCATTAAACAACAACCAAACCAAAATGTGCGAAAAATTCCCTGCATCTGTGACCTTGACCGTGTAGACAGGGACAAGAAGAAATATCGACCTGCACAAGAAGAGGCCAGCTGTAAGATTACACTGAAAATAAACAACAAATATTTGCTTTTGTCACAACGGAATGTTTTATTCAGAAATGATATCGAAAACGATATAAATGTAGAGAAGATTGCATACGTCAACATGGCAATCAACAACTCAAGGGACCTACCGGTGTCTCTCACGTGCTGCGTTACGTGAGTGTACAATACACACAAGGTTATAGCCAGTGCGTCATATCTACAGTAGGTCAGACACAGCACAGGTGACGAACAGGTACAGTTCGTTTGGATCAAAAGCGGACCGATGAATTGCAATCTAACTCGAAAACTAATAAACATAAAATACTCTATGAAAGAATTTTTGTCCTAAAAATAAAAAAGTTGTTTAACAAACAATCATTAAAATATTGACACAGTTCACTGTTTGTTACGAGGGGAGGAGTGCAGAGAAAAAGGGACAGCCAGGTGTTCGAGAAGCACGTTCAGAGACAAAGTTATTTATTCATTAACCTGTGCTGTGCCGTCTCTATCCGTTCTCGAACACCTGGCTGTCCCTTTCTCTGCACTCCTCCCTCGTAACAAATAGTGAACTGTGTCAGTATTTTAATGATAGATTGTTAAACAACTTTTTGGTTTTTAGGACAAAAATTCTGCAAAAACCCCACAGAGTGGGTATGATGTTTTGATTATGATCAGCGTTTCATTGAGTATTTTATGTTTATTGGTTTTCGAGTTAGATTGCAATTCATCGGTCCGCTTTTGAGCCAAACGGACTATAAGTGTAGACTCAACTACTATGACAGATAATGAGGTCACTGGAAGTCAAGGTCTTCCTCCATAAACTGGAATCTAATCTGGCAAAGGTAACACCTGATATGTACTTGACCCGGAAACCGTCGAGTAAAGCGGCCCTCGAGATAACATGTGATTGTTATAGCACGAAAATAGTTGCGCTGAATGCTAGCATAAGTATGTGCACTCTTCCTACCTTGACTCAAACCACTTGGAAATCAGTCTATATTTTCCTTCGATACAACCCCAGTGTGTGAGATGCAGAGCTGTGGAAGTTCGGATTTCAATGAGATTTCCATCCGCATCCCCGAATTTCATCCTATTTACAGGAATAAGAGAGACTCGGGTTGGGCGCATATGGGTAAGGGTGTATAAACACTACGACAGCTTATATATGCTGATGGGTAAAAGAAAGTATACATCTATGTATATGTCTAAAATGAAAAGAAATAGTAATTATTACTTGATAGTGTTTCTTACAGCTGTAGGTGATGTTCTGGGCTTATGTTTGCAGTGCTTCGGCGTTCGTTTTCAGCCTAGTAACGTTTTGAAAACGTTCTTTTGTCAAATCCAATTTTCAGCTGTGCTCTTCCTTTGTCCGGCACATAAAGAGCCTCACATATTCCACTTTTCGGTCTTTTCAGACTCTGGGTACCACTGTGTGGTACTGTACTTGGCAATGCAGACTTGTGTAATGTCTGGTCCTAGTGACGGCAGATGAGTACGGGGACGTTACTATGATGTACGACGTAGTCACTGACGCTGCCTAAAAATGTCCGCCGTATCGCCCCCAATCCGCGCGTCCCTGTGATGATGAGCTCCGCCTTCTCATCCTCCGCGACCTGCACGATTACCTCCCCTGGTGTCCCGTACACGCACTTCACCTTCCCGGTAATCTGAAAGGGACATCACTCGTGATGGTAATTCCAATAGAAATGATTGGCTTCCAATACTTCAAATCACACGGGCACCAAAAGGAAGGTTTTATACCCTTAAGCCTTTTAGTAGTCTAAGGGATTTTAATACAGAGAAAACATCCGTAAAACATTGATTTAAACGTGCCAGTTAAAAGTTGGCCCCGACCTTCAGCACTAGGAGCGTTTAATTTCAGCAATTATGTCAGCAATGAAATAGATGGAAAAATACAGTCATGTATATGCGATCTTCTGTTGATATTTGCCGTTAAGGTAGGAGTTGAGCATTGGGCCGTAAGATACCTTGGCCTTTTTCAGCTTCTCTCCGAGTTCAGCTACCATGGACTTGATTCGCGTTGCCTCCTCCGCCAACACGGCTGCCAACTCAGCCTCCACCGTCAGGCTGTCACCCATCATTACTGTTGGATGTAGAACACCATGATTTATCAGATGCATTTCGTGTTACTGCAGTAACAGAGGTCAGGGTCTATATGACAGAGTTACACTTACAGAGGTCAGGGTCCATATCACGTAAATACAGTAACAGAGGACAGGGTCCATATCACGCAAATATAGTAACAGAGGTCAGGGTCCATATCACACAGCTACACTAACAGAGGACAGGGTCCATATCACGCAAATATAATAACAGAGGACAGGGTCCATATCACACAGCTACACTAACAGAGGACAGGGCCCATATCACGCAAATATAGTAACAGAGGTCAGGGTCAATATCACGCAAATATAGTAACAGAGGACAGGGTCCATATCACGCAAATACAGTAACAGAGGACAGGTCCCATATCACGCAAATACAGTAATAGAGGACAGGTTCCATATCACGCAAATATAGAAACAGAGGTCAGGGTCCATATCACACAGCTACACTAACAGAGGACAGGGTCCATATCACGCAAATACAGTAACAGAGGACATGGTCCATATCACACAGCTACAGTAACAGAGGACAGGGTCCATATCACGCAAATACAGTAACAGAGGACATGGTCCATATCACACAGCTACAGTAACAGAGGACGGGGTCCATATCACACAACTACAGTAACAGAGGTCTGGATCCATGTCACACAACTGCACTAACAGAGGACAGGGTCCATATCACACAGTTACACTAACAGAGGACAGGGTCCATATCACACAACTACACTAACAGAGGACAGGGTCCATATCACACAGCTACACTAACAGAGGTCAGGGTCCGTATCACACAGCTACAGTAACAGAGGAAAGGGTGCATATCACGCAAATATAGTAACTGAGGACAGGGTCCATATCACGCAAATATAGTAACAGAAGACAGGGTCCATATCACGCAAATACAGTAACAGAGGACAGGGTCCATATCACGCAAATATAGTCACAGAAGACAGGGTCTATATGACGCAAATACAGTAACAGAGGTCTGGATCCATATCACACAACTACAGTAACAGAGGACAGGGTCCATATCACGCAAATATAGTAACAGAAGACAGGGTCCATATCACACAACTACAGTAACTGAGGACAGGGTCCATATCACGCAAATATAGTAACAGAAGACAGGGTCTATATCACGCAAATACAGTAACAGAGGTCTGGATCCATATCACACAACTACAGTAACAGAGGACAGGGTCCATATCACACAGCTGCAGTAACAGAGGACAGGGTCCATATCACGCAAATACAGTAACAGAGGACATGGTCCATATCACACAGCTACAGTAACAGAGGACAGGGTCCATATCACACAGCTGCAGTAACAGAGGACAGGACTCATCTCTCACAGCCACACCAACAGAAATCAAGGCTTTATCTCGCACTACACTAGGAGAGATTAGGATTCATTATACGCAACTACTCTCACAAAGGCCAGTCCATCTGTCAAAAAACGGCAACGTGATCGTCTCCCTGTTATCTGAGCGGGGTGTCTATGGTAAAGGTACAGCATGATGTATCATTGGGCTAGCGCTACAAAAAAATTGTTCGGACCAGTACAAGCGCGCACGCAAGCACACACCTATACTCATGCCAATAATGGTTATCACCCCTCAGCCTATTAATAAATTTGAAGGGGGTGACAACCATTATAAGCATGGATATATGATATTCCTCCCAAACTGTGAACAAAGCTGTGACTAAATCTCGACATTGACCTGACACTGACCTGATTGAATGGATGCTCTGTGTTCAGGGCAGTGGACAAAAATCACGTGGTCGTGAGGTCTGTAAATCTCTTTGACGTACCCTGGACATAGAAAAAGTTGGTATTAAAAGTACCATGCCATTTTATGTTTCGCTGATTATCATGTGAACGATAATTATGTGCTATTCACAATAAGAGTGGGTGAGTGATTTTAGCAATATTCCAGCAATATTACGACCAGGGACACCAGGAATGGGCTTCTCACATTGTACCCATATTGGGAATCGAACTCGGGTCTTCGGCTTGACGAGTGAACGCTTTAACCACTTGACTACCCCCACCACCCCCATTAAGAGGTAACCAGCACAGTATATACATAAACACAAACCATCATCACATACTTGTATATCATCCCTAAGCTTTATATTATGACATTTCTTTCACCAAAATGAAGAAAATAACTTGATGTTTATACGTAACAAGAAAAGAGAGAAAATGATTTCCTTCTTTCAGAACAAAGAGTAAAAATGTCGCATAATTTGTAATAACGAGACTATGGATGTGAAAAAACAATGGCATTAGCATTGTTTAAGAGTACTGGTTTGTCCTCTTTTTCCATTTGACAGCGGTAGTAAGTATGACTATATTATTTTAACTGATTTTACATCAGTATACCTTACACTCGTAATAGTTGAAATCATCCTTAAAAGAGCAAAATACATTAAGGTTTAAATTTGATGATTACCATTACAGACGCTTAAACGTTTTAACAATACTAGAGCATTACCGACACTGTCTTGCACCCGAACCTAAACAAATTCACATCTGTAGAAGAACTAAACATAAAAAGGCCACCATTCGTGTTCTATCACATGGGAATATATACGTTTTATTCAATTTCAGGGTCTGGATGTTTAAGCGTTCACTGGCCCGGTTTTGACTCAAATAACGGCCAGTCTCTGGTGACCCCGCAATAACATGCCATATTCGGCGTAAAACCACACTCACCCATTTCATTCAATATCAAGCTGTATTGTTGTTTCAACATTATTGATACTCACAATCAAACGCGCGAACGGCGATGTCACTTCCGTCCATTGCAATCAAGACATTTCTGACTTCCGATTTCGCCATGTCTTTGATAGGTACAGTCAGATCCCGAACGTTCTTTACCGACTGGTCAGTTGTCCACCACTTTGCCTGTCCACAGATATCAGCTGGCCCTATGCAGGTTGACCGGGGCTTGGACGTGAGTCCAAAGGTTTACAAGATAGCATCTTATGTAGTGGTTGCTACGCAGTTGTGCTGTAATCAGTCATGACAGACCATCGCTCACATGCGTAACATGACAGATAGCTTAACAGTGGGATTCCTTCTAATCGCATCACTGATGAAGAACGTCATGATAGTGCATCCTGGCATCTTGTGATCGTCCTCAACTGAGCTTTGGCGACCTTGGACTCTAGGCTGACGATCTCATTACTGGCCCTGTCCTAAAAAGGCGATCTACGAAGATCTTAACTCCCATACGCCACATAGACTTACGACAGTTGTAGGATATGGTCACTTTGTGGGACGTGGCCTTTTACTAAATATTCTGTTAGTGATTCAGTGCTTCAAATATATTTTCAATTTTTTAAATTCTGGATTACTTCATACAAATGAAAAAGGCCTGTTTAACAAGAGAGAGACATACCTCGAAGAGGGAAGTTGACCTTTTTAGTTAGATAACAGGTCCCTACTATAGTAATAATATAATTTGCTTTTCACAACGCATTTCATCAGAACACCAGAATATTTGGCGATTCAACTTTTGTGTGTGTAAAACTGAGCCATTGATTTTTTTTCTAATTGCTATTAAAAATGGAAATATCGGACACAATGCAGAGAAATGTGCGTGAGGTAACTTATTATCAATTCGTGTTTTGGAAATATGTAAACACGTGACTTCCATCTCCGTAGAATGGGAGTTTCTCCATCAGTGAAGATTAGAGCTGTAAAACCAGGGCCGTAGTTAACTTTATTTAGGGGGCTGGGGTGGGTGGGGTGTGGCACTATCACCGTTAAAGGAGTGTTATATCAATACTTGGATGCATAAAAAGTAATCTGTACCAAAGATCCTTTCGGTACAGATCCTTATACCGCTTTCAAGCAAGAAGGAAATACTACATCACTGTATTGATACATCTGATAGATATAATAACCCGACAAAAAGGAACCGGATTTCCTCTAAAAACGCCGGGCCTCGAATAAGCGCCGGGTCTCTAATAAGCGATTGGTACGTCTCTATGAATGTATTCTCCATTGATCCAAAAATATATTTAGTAAGGCATGGCCCTTAACTTTGACATACAGCTCACTAACAGTTACTTACGGTACACCCATTAAGCGCAATAAGCGCCGGGCCTCTAACAAGAGCCGGGTCTGGATGTCCGTTGAAAAAAATACTTATTAGAGGAAATACGGTATGGCCGAAAGGGATTAACAGTAACGACGAATATGAATGTTATTGGTGATACGATAACAACTGTAGGAGGCCAATTGTACGTGATCTGATACAAATTGCTGATCAGATGAAGCAGAGACTACAGCGCGAGTGCTCTGATGGTAATCTGGTCATTGGTAACCGATGAGATATTCTTGATCTCTATTAATGGAGGGCTTTTGATTGAAATCTTCTTCGGACAGTCTTCCTTGGGTGAAGTCATGGAGATTGGTAATAAGATTTGTAAATTGTCCAACGTGATGCTGTGGTTTGGGAGGTTGATGATGTCAGAAATGGCTGATTTTCGGTCTGATTTGGTGGTGACAATTACGTGTTCTTTTCTTACATATATGAACGGATTGCCAACAATCGGTTACCTGGTTTATATCGTGACATCTGTACCCCGGATGGATCATTGGATCATTGCTCAGAGTATCAATCACTGGATTGACTGGTCCGGATTCGAATATTTATCACGCGGCCGTCATGAAGCTGGAATATTGCTGGGACGTAGAAAAATACCCCAAACCCAAATCAAACTGACATGCCAATTTCTAAAACAAACACTTATTGTGTCACAGCTGAATCCAGATAATTCATTAGCGGAGGTGAACAATCTATGAGGGAACATAGATATATATGTCTGTAATCACTGAGAAGTGATGCAAGGGAGGTAACTCTAAACGCTTATTTGCATTGTCGTTCAAAAGGGGTATTGAGTAAAGCGGTCTTAATGCATTGAAACGGAAACGGGAACTGAACTGATTAGTTAACACCTGATTTATCTGTGATTTATTCAGTTGTATGTTATTCTGTATGTATGTAGAAGTTTTTCGTGAAAATTAGCCGTTTCTTCACAATCGGTGGGTTTGTTGAAAACAGACTTCTTTGAGTGGCATTTTAGAAGCTGAGAAGTACCTTCTTTGAGCGGCATTTTAGAAGCTGAGAAGTACCATATAGGACAAAAGAAGTTGTTATCCATAAAGTTTGTCCTATATTAATCTTATCACCATGGGAAAGTAATATGTAAGTGTGACAATCCAGTGATTGATATCACGAGCCTCGATTTACGCAGTTCAGATACGAGCGAGTCAGATTTAGGAAGGTTTACAGCTCCATACCCTGTACTACTGTGTGTTCTTTCTTCTAACTGTGTACAAGTGTGCCGTAAAATAAATAAATAAATAAATAAATTTCATTACGACACGAATTTGCATATTTTTCAGCAATATTTCACAGTTTCAGGGTTGAATCGAGTCAGGACCAGACAATCCAACATGAGCATCGTTCTCTGCAATTGGGATACGATGACATGTGACCACCCGATCCCGTTAGTCGCTTCTTACACTTATTCGTGGTGCTGTGTGGTCCTGTGAATAGTGCCCATGTCACATATCAGCTGAAGTGATCAACGCTGGTCCTTGGATGGGTGACCGCATTTGGCAGCTTGATTTCCTGAGAGTTTCGAGGCTTCAGTCCTGTCCTACACGTGACCATGTGGTCTAACCTTAGGCAAGTGAGTTTGTTTATCAGCGGTGAATGGGTACCCGGTGGGATAAGTCATGTGACTGTTAAGCTTCTAGCGCCTCACAGGCAATTTGGGTTATCCGGGGTAATAATGTATTAGCGCCTTGAGCAAGCACAGGTGCGTGGAAACAGGAGCTATATAAATGGTCATTGTTAAAATATATTATGTATCTTACAACAAGTATCAAAGCACTTTGGCGGGGCGGGATATGGGTTTTATCAGGGAATATAGACATGTTTGTATATTCTCTGATAAAACCCATATCCCGCCTATGATACAAGTTTGGGTTGATTTGAAGATCAATTCTAACCCGGATCTGCATGGGTGTCTCTGAGTTCATTACAACAGTACCAACTTCAGACAAAACAATATTCATCTTTCACACAACGTTTACATGCAGGACGTGTGCCTAATTTAAATATAACTCAGTTCCAAATGATTTCCCTTCCGTTTTACCAATCCGACTGTGATCCTGTCTAGTAATCCTGTTACGATGTTTCTTGATTACAGATAGACATTTTTGAATCTGTAACAAACTTTGAATCTCTTTAAATAGACTGTCAATAGAATATTGACATGGGAATGCAAATAGAAATATTGTTCAAGGTGCTGTATATATCAACGTCTTGAGATAACCTCACAAAACGAAATCCGTGAGAGAATAACAACGATCGCAAATATAAGTGATGAAAGTGAATAAACATCGTGTATATTTGACCCGTCTCTGATTACTTTCCAACAAAGTATCTGCGTTTTCCATTTTAAATATTCAATCAGTCATTACCTGACCAGTTGTTCATCGGCAACCGATCTTGTGTTGGTGAAGCAAAATATCTGGAATCTATTATACATCTCACATGTATTTAAAGCTTATGCACCTAAAGAAACCCATTATCACTTGCTCCAGTGCGAAGCAGCGGTAAAATCTCTCACCTTTTGTTCGGGAACGCCGTCAATCTGTCGAATTTTCATTATGTACTTTCACAAGCCCTTTAATGCGCACATTAATTTAACAAAATGGTGATGACCTAGGCCAGGGAAGGAAACGCGTCTGATAGTATCTGTTCACTTGTACAGCTGATGGATATGCATTGTGTACAAAAGCGCACGACCCGCCCACACTACAAGCATCTGTCCATAAAAACTGCCAGTGGAATGAACTAATAGAGCAGTGACATGTTACCGCGTTTTGATCTTGGGTCTTATGGTGTTTTATTGTTTGCTGTTTTCAGCAATATGTGCCGGTCTGTAAATAACAGAAAGTGGACTAAACAACCCAGTGATTGACGTCATGAGCATCAATCTACGCCAATAGGATACTATAACATGAGTCAACCAGGACAACGAGTCTGGGTCCCGTTCCCATTAACCGCTTCTGACACGAGCACGGGTTGCTGAAGATCAGTACAAACCGGATCTTCACGGGTCTTTTAAGTCCCTTGGGGCGGTGGGGTAGCCTAATGGTTAAAGCGTTCGCTCGTCACGCCGAAGACCCACATGGGCAAAATGTGTGAAGCCCATTTCTGGTGTCCCCCGCCGTGATATTGCTGGAATATTGCTAAAAGCGGCGTAAACTCAAACTCACTCACTCATTCTAAGTCACTTAAAACCTATTCTTCATCAGAACTGGTGATCAGAAACAGGATTGTTATCAGGATCATACTGAAAGTGGAATCATATATTGCACTACTGTTTCTTGTGTCACGCCGAAGACCCGGGTTCGAATCCCAACATGGGTACATTGTGTGAAGCTCATTTCTGGTGTCCCCCGCCGTGATATTGCTGGAATATTGCTAAAAGCGGCGTAAAACCAAACTCACTCACTCACTCACTCACTCACTCACTGTTTCTTGTGAGATTCTCTAAAGCATGTCCAGCAAATGGATGCCTTAATGGCCTAGAAAATGTGGTGCAGTTCTGGCGACCAAATGGGATGTGATTTTTCACAATCAGGAATGATTTAGCTTTGATTTAAAGCCGGTTGTCATCAGCTACCGTGCAGGACCATTTTAAGGTGCCACAGGTCATTTCAGTTATGATATAATTTTAACCGATAATGGATGGTTGAATTTTGAATTAATAATTCTGGTTGGGATTGACCGATTTTCATCAAAAGAGTGAGGTTTTGAATGCTCAGATCATGATTTAAAATTGCGGACAATAGTATTATATGTATGCTCATCGCAAAAATATCTTGGCTAGGTCAAAGTTTAATTTTAATAGAAAGTTCATTTGATGAGAAAGATATGAGTTAAACTTTACAAATTAAAGGTACTTTTACCAAAATGATGTTTGTCTAATTCAGCCATATCATTTGAGGATCATATATACG